TTATCTGATTGCGCTTTCAGATACCTCTTCCTGTTGTCCTCCCCACCCCAATCTCCCGTTATCTCGAGCTCCCACTCTGACTTTGTAAAGTGCCTACAGGTATATGCAATACCTGAAAGGCATTTTATAAGTGCGACTTCTTGTTCCAATAGATTGGGTTTCATTCAGATCGAGAAAGGAATTTGAAAATCTCCATTGCGTCACCGAGTACTTAGCCCCCCCTCCTCCTCTCACCCCCATTGTATGACCTTCAACATTTCTTTAGCTTTAGGCATGTCTGTTACTCAAGTTGCTGAATCACTCCTGGAAGTAGTGTCAGAATACACTTAATGTTAATTCTCTCACCAAATGTCCCCTCTACAGTAAGAGGTGCCACCCAGTGGTACCTTGTGGAAATGTCTTCACCTCACGTCGCAACAACAACAAAATTACATTTGATTAGCGTCTTTCACGTCGGGAGGACGTCCCAAGGCGCTGGACAGACAGAGTTTCGGACCAGAGCATTGTTATATAATAACAATAATACGGTTTAACTGCTGATAACTGATAGCAAGGGAAAAGGGCTCAGTGAAGAAGAGTTAGGCATATGTATATATACGTATATAAATGTAGCTGGGATATTAACAGTATAATAATAATAATCCTTGCATTCGATATAGCATCAGTGAGATACAACAACAGCTTGAATTTATATAACGCCCTTCACACAGAGACCCAAAGCGCTTTACTTCAAGATGTCGCGAAAGCACTTCACAGCATATACTGTCAAGTGAATTGACTGTACATTTTGTGGGATAAACGCGGCAGCCGATTGCGCACAGCAGGGTCCCATACACAGTCGTGGATTGAGTGACCAAATTATTATTAATAATTTTTTAGGGATTATTACCTCCTGGAAAGCAATCCACCAATCGACTAACAACCGGGTTGCTACTTACTGCTAGGTAAACAGAGGCGTGTGGAGTGAGGAAATTCGCCTAAGGCTTTGCCCTGCACGGAAATTGAACCCAGATCCTCTCACTTGCGAGGAGAGTGCTCTAACTAATACGCTACAGGACTCCACACATGGTGACTTTAGTGACAGTGGCAATTTAAAACAGGGATGAGTTATCAGGCATCTGTGGGTCTGATACAGTACCTTTCAATCCAGAGGACGTCTCAGAGCATTTCACAGAATATACTATAAAAAGCAGTGCCTATGTGTTTTTTTGTACGCGAACCCTGCTGCCAATAACTCATGAAGTGAATGACGCATTTTATCGGGGAGGAGGCCAAGACACGGGAAGAAACTCCCTTCTCTATCCTTTCGAATAGTATCTAAGAAACCTAGAAACTTTCAGCGCAGAAAGAGGTTGTTGGGCCCATGATGTGGAGGGGATTGCAAATATTAGCCAAGCTAAATACTTATAATAATCCTTGCATTTGATATAGCGCCTTTCACATCATTGAGACCTCTCAAATCACTTCACAGAATATATTGTAAAGTGGATTGACCGTGTATTTTGCGGCCGAAATGTGCTGAAGACCAGTGAGGGGGGAAGGGGAATGGTTGGGGTGAGGGGAGGGATGGGGGGGGAGAGGGGTGTGTGTGACTGGAGCAGAGTAAGATTGAGGAATTTTATTTCTTTGTGCATTTCGATGTGGAGAAGGGGGAGGAGGAAATCAACGGGTACAGACTGTGCAGATTCAATCCTCCTCTAAGAAAAGGGATCTTCTGTGCGTCTTCTTATTAGCAAACGGACAGTTTCAGTTGGCAGCTTTCCACGTTGGCTGTGGCAGCGAATCCACCTTCAGCAGATGGGATGCCTGCGGTGGGGAGCCTTTGCAGGATACACTCCGTACTGAGATGCTGAAACCTCTTCAGTCATCTGTATTTGTTTGAAAGAATAACCTTCCTCCTCCACATGCCATCTGTTGCCCTGTCCTCGTGTTACGAACCTTATTAAAAGGACACACGTTTACAAACGCGCTTGTGTGTCCGTGTCCCTTCAAACCACAAGTGGAGATTTTTTGCTTCACCCTCTCATGGCTCAAATAATGGAACTTCGTTAATCTGACCCAACAGCAAAGTGCCCTGTAATGCACATTTTTCTTCTGCAAACACGTGCTCCACTTCAGAGAGGTGATCTTGAACGCTGGACTCTCCTTCGTTCTGGAATTCTGCTATTGGTTTTTCGGGAGGAAGAGAAAAGAGAGGGTGGGTGGGGGAGTGAGGAGAAACGAGAGGACTCCTGGGCTGTATGAGTCTCAGTTTATTATTAAATATAGTTTTTATGGGTTTTTTTGGTCAGCCGGGTGTCTGACACATGCAGAAACCCATCACTTAAGAGTGCTTAAGAGTATCCAAACCAAGCTGAGAATTCCATGCATCCCACCTACATATGGAAATCCCAGAGTTGGTTGTTGGAACGGAATGGGCACTCTCTCCCCGGAGGGATGCATCCTGCTTACCTAATTCCTGGAAAGTATCCGGCACAGGTTGGCAGGAGCCAAGGCTTGGAGACCCCAGAGTGACACCCATGTTGAGACTTTGAGCTCACCGTCTTGGCTGATGCTCAACTGGGACAGGAGAGGGGAAAGCACTACAAGGTCAGAGTTGCTGTCCTTCAAATAAAACATTTAACTCAGGCCACTCTGCCTGTTCAGGAGGACGTTAAAGATCCCGTGGCACTATTCGAAAAGAGAAGTGAGTTTCTCCTGGTGACCAGGCTGACAATTTGCCAGATAAAATCAGTCGATATGGGTCATTGTCTAGAATTGTGCGCAATTTGGCTACCGCCTCATCCATAAAATGCACAGTCACTACACTTTACGGTATATCACGCGAAGTGCTTTGAGATGTGTTCCTGACATGAAAGGCTCTACATGGATTGCAGGGATTATTATAAGAACATCTCAACACAAAGACAATGGGATACGGATAATATTTTTGATAAAATGGTTAATGAACAAGTTAATGTGCAACTAAGTCCCAATTTAGGATGGCTCAGCCCACCAAGCTAAACAGAGCACGATTTGCAAAGGTCCATTTATTTTATAAAGAGGACGTGACTGTTGTGAATACTGAGTCATAAAACCAATTGCAAAAACTAATGCCCTGCAGTTAACAGCCCGATGGTGTGTGGGTGGCTGCTGTGGGTGAATTTAAGGTGAGCAAGACCCAGGATTACCAGCTGCACATCCTCTCCAGCAGTGAGCACAGTATGCTTCTGAAAGTGATTATCTCTGAAATGCATCCAAAACGCACACTGCTTATTGATGGATTACGCCCCTACTCTTATTAGTCTGGCTGGGTATAAAAAACAATAATATTAATGCATTTGACATAGCGTCTTATCATGTGTTTGAGACATCTCAAAGCGCTTCACAGAATATACTGTGACATAGATTGAGCAAAACTAAACAATTGCGCACAGCAGTGTCTCACAAACAGTCGTGGATTGAGTGACCATTTTTTTTTCTCGGAAAGCGATCTACCAATCGACTATCAACTGGGTTCCTACTTACTGCTTGGTAAACAGCGGCTTGTGGAGTAAGGAAACTTGCCTAAGTTTTTGCTTCGCCCGGGAAACGAACCGAGGTCCTCTCGCTTGCTAGATTGCTGGACTCCACAAATGTGCACCCATTTGAATTCAGGTGGGCGTTAAAAATCCTGTGGCAAGAGGGTTAAAAGGAGAATGTTTTTTCTCTTGTATCTTGATAAACAATCACCCAAATAAAAATTGGTCACTCATTTCATAACCGTTTGTAGGACTGTGCAAATTGGCTGCCGCATTCACCTATGAATGCACAGTCACTATACAGTAATTTCAGTGAATACTTTGAGATGTCTCAATGACTTGATAAGGTGCTATATCAAATGCAAGGATTATTATTGTTAATTTGTAAGCAGAGTTGTGCGGAGTAAGGAAACTCGCCTAAGGTTTTTGTCCTGCCTGGGAAATAATAGGATGCGTTGACTCATGCTATAAGAGGTCTCACTATCTGCACCATCCGGGGCAAGAGTGACCCAGGCTATCTGTGACACTAATGCTGGCCATGGGCTAGTTACTCTTTACCACTAAGAGCACGTTGGCCCATAGCCAGGCATTAGTGTGACAGACAGCTTGGCCCAGCAACGTCACTCTCGTAGCAAATTACACTCATAAAGAAACGTCTGAAAGTGCTTTACAGCGCGGGAGTTTAGAAGGGTCAAGATTCCCCAGTAATGTAATAATCCATCTCCTCCCTGCGGTTTGAAAGATGGATGCTCGGGTTGCAGAGGTATTGGGACGTTCTTAAGACGTGAAAGACGCTATACAAATGTAATTTAGCTTCGTGGTATTGAGAGAGCGTAGGAGAAAAGACAAGGCGTTAATTTAAAAATCTGCTCAACAACAACAAGATAACATTTGTAAAGCGCCTTTCACGTCGGGAGGACGTCCCAAGGCGCTGGACAGAGTACAGCATTTCAGACCCATTATATATGCTCAAATATAATCTGGTGGAACTGGCTCGGGGGGGGGCTGAATGGCCTCCTCCTGTTCCTGTGGTTCTATGTTTCACTTTATAGATGTTTATTGTGGCTGCTGTATTTGCCTGGTAATGAAAGCCTCCCAATTCACGTGTCTGAAGTCCTCCTGAAGTGAAAGTGTGTGTTGTGTTATGTTCAAGATCTAACTCTTCGACTATGCTTTTAATCATCATCCCCCCCAAAAAAATAAAATAAACAAAACTCGGGTCCCAGCCACGATTGTTAAATCGCCCGCAGGACGTGCCCCCTGATATGAAACACACTATAATATTAATAATCCTTGCATTTGATATAATGCCTTATCATGCCATTGAGACAGATCAAAACGCTTCACAGAATATACTGAAAAGTGAATTAAGTGGATATTTTGTGGGTGAAGCATGGCAGCACAAACAGTCGTGAATTGATGTATTGTTGCATTGTATTAAGGAGCGGTTTCATTAATTATTTCTCTCCCCCCACCCACACTCCCCCTTTTTCTAAACAGGCAGAAAATCCTGCCTTGGAAAGACCGTACACTTTCAAGGACTTCCTGCTTAGGCCAAGGAGGTGAGTTGTACAAAACCAACACTATTTTATGGAATAATGACTTTCTTTTCTTCAAGGGTCAGTTTGTGATTTTTTCTGTTATTAAAGAACAACTTTGCCCACGCAACGACCCTCAGTTAGGTTCCATTTACCCTTGTTTCGTCAAAGGGCTCAGATGTTTGTCCGAGTTGAAGGGTGCTGGACGAGTGTTTTGTATTTGCCTTGCTGCTGGGATTTTCTTTTATTGTTCTTTTTGTCAAGCAATACAAGCGTGGAAACTGGAACTTTAAATTTGGTCTGCAATGATGGGCGACTACTTGGTCTCAGCATCTCGGGATGAACAAAGCACCCGGCTCTGTTGCTTAAGTGCTTCTCTGGCTATGCTTCTGGCAGACGTCAGCTGAACAGAGGCAGTGAAGTTATCCGAGATGTTGTAAAAGCATCAATCTTCATGTTGGGCTGGAATGAGAGATTTGAAAGAAATTGGCTTGTCTTTTTAAACAACGTCCTTCAGATGGTGAGGCCTGAGCTTGCAAGTACAAGTTCCCAATCTCACTTATGCTGCAAATTTGGCGGTGGGAGGTGGGTGGGGGGGGGGGGGGGGAGGAGGAGGAGGAGAAGATGGAGATGCGCTGAGCAGATGTCTAGCACTTCTCTACAAGGACTGAAATAAAATCAGCAGAATATTCTCGCACATTGCTTAGAGAGGGCTTGGCTCCTCATCTCTTTCAAGGTCCATTTCTTCAAGGTCCATTTTGAGACCGACCTCTTTGACCGTACTTTCGGTCATCTTTCCTCCCCACCCCCGGCTCCCACCGTGAACTCGGGTATGAACCCAGGATTATTTAGTGCCGTGGGACATCCTGACGTGAAAGGCCCTGTATTAATGCAAAATTGTATTGTATTGCCCACAAAACACAGTCACTCTGCTTTACGGTATACGCTGTGAAGTGCTTGGGACATCGTCCTGATGTGAAAGGCATTATACAAAACATAAGGGTTGTTGTTGTTGTTGTCAGTTTCCAAGTGAACAGATAGATCTCCAGGTTCCCACTCGGAAAACCACTCGGCCAAAACATTTTTTACGGAATAGTTGTAGGTGGGGAAACTTCAGAGATAGAATCACTTCACTTTAATAACTTTGAATGGGACCCCATCCCAACCCAGCTGCTGGTCACCCAACTCCTCTTCCTCTCCCCGTTGCTGGCTGACACAGTCAACCAGTCACTTTCTTCAGGTTCTGTTCCTCTCCCCCTTAAAACTGCTGTCATCGCTCTCTTCCTCAAAAAACCCACCCTTGATCCCTCCAACCTCACAAATTACTGCCCCTTTTTTCCATCTTGCCTTTCTTTGCCAAAGCTCTGGAATGCGTTGGCGCTAACCAGCTGCGTTCTCACCCCATGTATGCAGATGACACACAAATCTACTTCTCTTCCTCCAGGTTCTCTCTGCTTGTCTGGCAGACATCAGGGCCTGGATGAGCGAAAACTTCCTACAACTAAATGTTGACAAGATGGAAGCCATACTCATTGGCTCTCATCAACGTCTTCTATCCTGAGGCTCTGACCTCCTCAACCTCCCTGGTCTATCCCTCAGACTTACCGAACCGGTGCGCAACCCAGGCATCAGGTTCGACCCACAGCTGTTCTTATTCCCCTACATCCGGTCCTTGACCAGGACCACCTTCCTCCACCTCTGCCAGATTTCCGGCCTCCGACCGTACCTTATCCCAGACATAACCGAAAGACTCCTCCATGCATTCATCACCTCCTGACTCGATTTCTCAAATACCCTCTTGGCCGGTCTCCCCAACTTCACCATGCACAGGATCCAGCTGATCCAAAACTCCGCCGCCCGCATATTCATCTGCGCTAAACTCCTTACCCCCATCACACCAGTTCTAGCCACGCTCCACTGGCTGCCTATTGCCGAATAGATTGATTTCAAGATTCTCACACTCGTTTTCAAATCCCTTCATGCCCTGGCTCCTCTCTTCCTCTGACCTCTTTACCCCACAACCCGCTGCCTCCGCTCGACTGCCTTCTTCATGTCCCTCATACACTCCGTTCCACCATTGATGGCTGCGCTTTCAGCCATTATGCCCAGAAACTCTGGAACACTCTTCCTCTATCCCTCTGCGTTGCCCCTTCCCCCATCTTCAGGTTGCGCCTGAAGACCTTTATTTGACCATGCTTATGGTTACCTCCCCATCCCCCCCAGCTGGCGTCGTGCTCTGCCACTGTTAAGTGCTCTGGGTGCTATACAAATGCAAGTTGTTGTTGTTGACATTAAACTGAAGTCCTGTCTGCCTGTTCACTTGGATGTTAAAGATCCCATGGCAAGCTTCGAAAAGAGAAGAGAGTTTCTCCCTGTGTCCTGGCCAACAATTCCCCCAAATAAAATTGGTTGCTCACTCTGTCGCTGTTTGTGGGACATTGCTGTGAAAACTGGCGTCAAGCATTTCGCCCACAAAATACACAGCCACTGCATTTTACAATACATCATGTGAAGCGCTTTGAGATGTCTCAATGGTGTGATAAGGCGCTGCATCCTATGCAAGGATTATTATTATTAATATTATTATTAGCAATGACAATGCTGCAACATTTTCTTTGGCAGAAAGAATGAAATCCGAGGGATTTTTTAAAAAGTTGTAATTACTTTCTTCAATTTTCTCCCCTCCCCCTCCTCACTCTCTAGAAGGCGTGTTGACTCCCGTTTCACAAGATCACAAGAGAGGTATGGATGAAGAAGGCCCCACAGCCCATTTCATCTCATCCTTCCTTCCCTGCTATCTTCCCCATTGCAGCATTAAGCTGCTTCTTAAATGAGTCCAGTATCTTGGCCTCAAATCCCACCCCTCCCCCCCCACCCCCAACTTCCTGGTAAATTTCTCCAGCTGTTTATCTCCCTCTGTGTAAAGGAATACTTTCTGGTGTCTGTCTTAAACATTGCCCTTCACAACCCTGAACCTGTGCCCTCCTGACGCCGCTTTTAGAGCATCTGAAGATACTTTTCTGGGTTTACTTTCTTAATGCCTGTGGTACCTCTAAGGTTTACTCTGAAATGTCTCTTTTCAAGGCTGAAGGGTCCTGGTTTATCTAGTTTTCCTTATAGCTTTTCTCTACAACGCTGAGGATCAGCCCAGTTGTTTTCCTCTATTGCTGTCTCTAGACCCCAGCAGCCTCCTTATAATCGTGGTCACCAGAATTACCCAATACTCCAGATCTGGTCTGAACCAGGGCACTTTACGACTTGGGTGTATCTTCTGGGTGTCTGAACTCAACTGATTTGGCTACATAACCTCTGGTTTCCTCACATTGGTTTAGACACGGTGAGCGATGAAACAACTAACACCACTGGGTCTCTTTCAGCTTCCGACTTTGCAGGTCCCGGCTGATCAATGGAGGACACGTGCCTCCCTCTTTCATTTCCTACACACCACACCTTGCATTTAAATGCATTGAACGCCATCTGCCACTGGTCAGCCCAGGTCTATGCCCTGTCGGACTCTCTACCATTTACAAATCTGTACAATGACTCTATTCTCTCCATCAAGTAACGGTGGGCAGCCTGTCCTGAGCTTTGTGCAAACATCCAGGGTGGTGATGTGTGGTGGTGGTGGTGGTGTGAGAGTTGCAGAAGCAGATCCGTATTAATTTTAATTCCAATCTCTTGACGGACTGCAGACTAATGCTCCCAGAATGCCTTTCTGAATGTAAAGTGTACTAATGTCTGTGGAATTTCAAGTTGCTCTGACTCATGTAGAAGGATGTCCATTTCAAAGCTCAAAAAACAAGGACCGCCAATTGTTTTAAAAGGCAAATAGGCGGATGTTCGGAAAAGAGTAATACTGAAGGGGGAAGGGTTAGTGAGCAGGAGATTGGAATTAGATTAGGTAGAACCATAGAAATTTACAGCACAGAGAAAGACCATTTAGCCCATCATGTCTGTGCTGTCTCTTTTAAAAGAGTAATCCTTTCAGACCCATTAACCTGTCCTTACTCCAGATCCCTGTAGTTTACTCCTTTTTAGGTATTTATCTAGTTCCCCTATGAAAGCTGATAAAGCCCATAGAAATGTACAATGCAGAAAAAGGCATATTTGAGAAGAGAAGTGAATAGAGGGTGTGTTTGTGTGTGTGGTGGCGGGGGGGGGGGGGGCAAGGGAGCGGGATTAGATTGGGGTGAGGGCTTCTGTTGAGTTTAAGCACTACAGATTATTTGGGATGAAAGGCTCCAGATTCTAAGTATCTATGTGAGGCCATTTTACCCATCGTAACTGTGGTGGCTCTTTGAAAGAGCAATTCATTCGGTCACATTTCCCCACCCCCCCTCTCCCCCGCTGCCCCTCTCTCCCCCGCGCCCCCCTCTCCCCCGCGCCCCCCTCTCCCCCACTGCCTCCCATTACCCCTTGCAAATGACTCCTCGTTAGATATCCATCTTGTTCCATCTAGAAAACATAATGCGACTGTTTATCATTGAACATTCCCATCTCAGAAACACTAGGATCCATTTGTGGCCATTACTCATAAGATCTTATAAAAGAGAGGCGAGCCCGCTAAATAATTCCCACCTTTTTGACCTAGCTCCCCTAACAAAAACCTACTGCTTCACCAGCAACGAATCCATGTCTATGTCTTGCCCACGATGTAGAAAAAAAATCAGAGGGACAGAAAGGAATAGGTTTAGAATGTGAATCAGTGGGGGGCGGTGAGAGAGAGTCAGAGAGAGAGAGTTCATGGCTGGAACTACAATAACACTGAGTTGATAGAAGAAACTTTGGTTAGCACTGTAGTCGATTTATATTTTGTATGATGACTAATTATTCACACTGTTTCCATATCCACAATGGGGCCCACACCAAATAGTGTGGATATCAGGCTCTCTATTTTTAGTTTGTTTAACATGAATTACCATTCCAAAAGCCCTGAGGGCTATAGACGCAGAATCAATTGGGATGTTTAAAAGGGAGCTGGATTCATACAGTACTCAGAAATTAACAGTATGGAAAAAATATAATAGGATTCAAGAGTCTTACATGATCTAATAGACTTGCATAACAGACTAGTTGGGCTGAATGACCTCCTCCTTTTCTGTTAATCCCAAATTCGAGTGAGGACACTTTTGAGCTTTGAAAATAAATTGTCTGTATGGGACAGAAGCACTTCTAAGTAATCCTGAAAGGCACTCTATAGACTAAATTATTGTAAGAGGACGGATCCTTACAAATGTTCTTGTGATCTTATATTTATGATCTTGTGGTCCGCAGTCACAAATCCCGGGTAAAAGGGTTTCTGCGATTGAAAATGGCTTACCTGCCCAAGAATGGTGGTCAAGAAGAAGAAACTCCCGAACAGAGAGAAGAGTCTGAGGTATAAATGGGAGATGGTGTGTGGGGGGGGGTGGGGTGTGTTTGTGTGTGTGTCTGCAACTGTATAGGGCTTTGGTGAGACCGCACCTAGAGTATTGTGTGCAGTTTTGGTCTCCTTATTTAAAAAAGGACATACTTGCCCTAGAGGGGGTGCAGCGTAGATTCACTCGGTTAGTTCCTGGGATGACGGGACTGACCTATGAGGATAGGCTGAATAAACTAGGGCTGTATTCTCTAGAGTACAGAAGAATTAGGGGGGATCTTAGTGAAACTTATACGATTCTTAAAGGGCTGATAAAGTAGACACAGAGGGACTGTTTCCCCGGTAGGAGAATCTATAACCAGGGGTCACAGTCTTAAAATTAAGGGTCAGCCTTTTAGAACAGAGTTGAGCAAACATTTCTTCACTCAGAGGGTAATGAATTTATGGACTTCACTACCCCAGAAGATGCTCAGTCCTTGAACATTTTCAAGGCTGAGACTGATAGATTCTTAAAAAATAGAGGGATTAGGGGATATGGAGACAGGGCAGGTAATCAGAGTTAGGTGAGAAGATCAGCCATGATCTTATTGAATGGCGGAGCAGGCACGAAGGGCCGAATGGCCTACTCCTGCTCCTAATTCTTATGTTCTTATGTTCTTATGTGTGTGAAGGGCGGTGCACGACATGTCGCAGGTGTCATCCTTCGGCTGAGGCGTTAAACCAAGGTCCCGTCTGCCTGTTCAAGTAAATCTTAAAAGATTTATTTGGAAAGAGAAGGGAGTTTCTTTTGGTGACCTGGCTGACAATCCCCCAGATAAAATTGCTCATTCACTTCATGACTGTTTGCGGGACATACCTGTGCAGAAATTGAGTGCCCCGTTTGCCTTCAGATACACTTTTGTTGCACTTTTACTGTGAAATCTTGCAAAGCCCTGTGAGACATTTTGCCGAATGGATCAGGCAGTCTTATCAAGTGGAAAACATCATTTATTTATCACAGATGTTTGGACGAGCTGAATGAAAGCTCGCCACAGATGGCTGAGCATTCAGTTTTGTGTGGAGGTGGAACTGCGTTTCAACTACAAGGAAAGCTTGTGCCTACACCACACGTCATGCCATGACATGACAACCAGGTAGCTACACCCTTGTGTTAAGTCATTGGATCCCATTAAATAATACTTAACAAGAGCAATGCAAGTTTTCAGTTTCGATAGACAGGATGCACTCCCCACTTGTATTTAGTCTGGTTTTAACAAACATCTCCTGCCTTGGAATGAGAGGAGATGAAAGTGCTCTCTGCTTGACCAATGGTGGAGGTAAAGGCTTTTCAGTTGGAAGAGAACTAGCCATTATGTGTACACTCAGAGAAACATTGTTAGGGGCAGGGGAGTGGAGTGGAGCAGAGAGAGAATCTGTCCCTCCTGGCTGACACTGGTGTGGCTGCATGTCGGAGGAAAGGGGAGTGCGAAGGAAAAAGGCGTCAACATTTAAATTAATTCGTTAAGTGCATTCGCACTAGCCAAACGTGAATAAACACCTGGGAATGACTTACTGGTGCATTTGAAGTTTGTGGAGAGAGAAGTTGTGTCGACCTGTGGTTTGTGGAGAGTGTTTGTCTGTGTAGAGGGAGAGAGAGTGAGTGGATGGAGGTGTTTTACTCAAATAGTTTTTCTTCATCGTGGAATCTCGCTGGGGATTTTTTATTTCTCTGTAAGTAGTTCATTGATACTACTTTGTGTGATTTTTGTTTTACTTCTCTACCCATTCAGCGCGTCTGGGACCTGGTGGATCCCAATGACTCAAGTTCCCAGCGAGAGCAGCACTCGCCACCTTTACCGCCCGGTTGGGAAGAGAAGACCGACAACCTGGGCCGAACCTACTATGTGAACCACAACCACAGGTCCACGCAGTGGCAGCGACCGAGTCTTATGTAAGTGACTAAACAACAACAGAGTTTGGGAGGACGTCCCAGGGCGCTGGTCAGTCAAGGATTTGGACCTGAGCTGAGGTTTGGGATCAGGAGGGGTGGAGGGAAGGGAGGGGAGGGGTAGGAGGGTGGCCAAAGATGCGGTCGAAAAGAAAGGTCTTGAGACCACCAGCTGTTCCAAAATCCCCAATGCATGCCCAACTTGGAAGGTCTTGTCCCTCATCTAAATAAATCTCTTCATTCTCCACCCCCCACCCCCACCCACACACACACACACAGCCAGTACCTCCCTGATCTCCTTCCCCACTCAGCTCGCTTGCGCCCGCTGCCCAAACTCCTTTATACCACGATCGGTGGTTGAACTTTTCAGCTACTTTGCCCCTAACCTCTGGAATTTTCCCCCTATACCTCTGCAATTCCCCCCCCACACCCTTTCATCACGCATAAGGAACTACCTTTGCAATCGCACTTGACCTCCCATCTTCCATCCACCCCGCCTCTTGCTTTGACCCTATCTTTGTGAAGCTTTCACTTTCGAAGTCCTCCACAGTATTTCTTCTCTCTCTTCGACTGACTAACATCTTACAAACCTTCCCGCTCCCTCAACTCAGCGGACATTGGCCTGCTTCATGTCCCTTGTCCTGTCAGCTTCACTATCGGTGGTCAGGCCTTCAGCCTTTCTGCCCCCACCCTCTGGAACTCCATCCCGGGGGCCCTCCACCTCACTGCCTCACTTGCCTCCTTCAAGGCCCACCTCAAGACCTTCCTCTTTGACCGTGCCTTCAGTCACCCTCCCACTCACACCCCCCCTTGACCCCCAATTCTTTTGATTCCAACCCCCAGCTCGGGTACAAACCCTTGACTGTCGAGCCCCTTGGGACGTTATCCCAACATGAAAGCTGCTGAACAGCACGTAATTTGTTGTTGAAGCGCTCCGAGATGTTATCTTATATAAAGTTGGGAAGGGGGGAGGGTGGGAAACATTATGCTTTTTCCCCTCATCCTCTTCTCCCATCAAAGAGCGCATCCTCCAGCTTTGTTGCAAGGACACTTCAGGAAGTTAATGTCAATGGCTGTTGCAGACCTCGCTGAACATACTGGGTATTGCTAATTTGATCTTGTTTTGCACTTTGAAACCTACATCCTGCTCTGCAACTTAACTGGGTCAAAACAAGACACATCAAAGTCTTGGATGCACATGTTAGATGCTGCAGACTCTTCCAAATCGATATCTGATGCTGTGCAATCACTGAATATCTATCTACATATGGCTTTGACTAGAAACCAGTGGGGAAGCAGCTTTGAATTCCACTGCTAACAACATTTACCACACTCTTGAGATGTTAACCATAACAGCTGATATGCTCTTCAGTATAATACAGAGGCAACCTTAGTTATGAATGACTTTCTGTCCATTTGTGATCAGTGCTCTCTCTGTCTCCCAATCCTTCTTAATCTCTCCTCTGCTTTTGACATTGTTGACTACTCTGTTCTTCTCCACCGCTCTCCTCTCAGCTACACCTTCTGTCCTTGCTGGGATTCGTTCTTTCGATGTCTTGTTTGACCCTCAACTGTCTTTTAAACCACACATCTGTGCCATGATCAGCTCTGCCTTCCCCCACCTCCGCAACATTTCCCGCCTCCAGCACTACCTCGCCCCTCTTTCCTCACATCCAGGCTTAACAATGTAACTACCAGCTCACTGAACTTCCCATCTCTCCCCTCCACAAGCGGCAGATTATTCGGGACTCTGCAGCTCATGTCCTCTCCTTCGTTAAGTTCCATGAGTCAATCACCCCCATCCTCTCCCGGCTTTACTAGCTCCGATCCCCCAGTAGATTGAATCCAAGAACTTCGCCCTTAACTTTAAAGCCCTCCATGGCCTTGCTCCGCCCTACCTCTGTTACCTACTAAAGCTCTATCAACCTGTATACTCACAGGCACTGGCCTGCTCCACCATCAGCAGTCAGATCTGCAGCCTTTCTGCCTCCACCCTCTGGAACTCATCCCGGAGTCCCTCTGCCTCGCACCTCCCTTTCCTCCATCAAGGTCCATCTCAAGACCTTCCTCTACGACCTCAGCTTTGGTCACCTCCACCCCGTTTCCCTCCAACCCTCTTGGCTCCAACTCCAGCTTGGGTGCAAACTCTTCACTGTCCAGCGACTTGGGAAATCCTCCCGATGTGAAAGGGGCTATATTAATGCAATTTGTTGTTGCTGCCTGTTATTGTTAACCTAACCAGCTGCTAACCAGTCCCTCAACCACGTTCATATCCGTGGGGAATACTGTTTTATCTTCTTTGTTTCTGATTCCCCGGCAGAGACGTTGAAAATGAGTCGGACAGTAACATTCGTCAGATACAGCAAGAAGCTCACAGAGTCTTCCGGTCTCGTAGACACATCAGCGAAGATCTGGAACCCTCAGAAAACCGAGACAACAGCGACGTAAGGCAATTTCTCCCATTTTCACTTTCACACAGGAACAGCTGAGCCACGAGATTTAGTGCCCAATTAATAACAAAGTCCGAGATCCACTTGCTTTCACTCAACAAACCATTAAGACACTCACCCATGTTTGGCTCTTATCTGCTTCTGTTTACTCTTATTGCAAACGAGAGCTCCCTTTGCCCTCCCAGGACCAGTTCATCGTATGATGTACATTGGAGGCAGTGGGTGCGATTGTTGGAAATATAACCAAGTTGCGAGCAAAAGACAATGAAAATCAAAAGCAACCTGCCCCAGAGACCAGATTAAAGTTTGAATGCACTGCATGTGTGCTCCTTTAGTCTAAATAATTCAAAGGAGCAGTGCGCTGAATCTTTAATTGTGTTGCGATATAAATAGACAACAATTTAATTGTGTCGAGATATAAATAGACAACAGCAAGATAACTTGCATTTATATAGTGACCTCTACATGGGGCAGCATCTTGGAGCACTTAACAATGACGGAGCCTGAGGCCGAGCCGGAGGGAGGGAAGAGGTGACCATAAGCACTGTCGAAGAGGAAGGTCTTCATTGGTGATGTGAAAGAGGGGAAGGATTAGGAGCAAGGCAGAGGGATTGGGGGAGAGAGTAGTGAATATGTATACTTTGGGGCATAGTGGCTGAAAGCGCGGCCACCGATCGTGGAGCAGATGGGACGAGGGATCAACAGGAGGCTGGAGTCAGCCGAGCGGAAGCAGCGGGTAGTGGAATGGGAAGACAGTCTTTATCCTGATGATAATCTTAAATGCTGGTAACCCAAAGAATGATATTTATTAAATACCGAAATCTCTGTGGCACAGTGAGCTTCAGGTAGTTGGCAGGTTGTACTAACAATAATCTTGTATTTGAAATCTCGTGTCAGGAAGGTGTGTTTGATGTATTAAGGGTGTGGTGAAGGGGCAGGGCATTGGGATTAACAGATTTGCCAAAATCTAATAAACTAGTGGAACAGGTTTGATGTGCTGAATAGCCTCTACCTGTTTCTGTTTTCCTATGTTCTAGTTAGTTGACAGATGGTGACTGGGTGGAGATGCTGACTTTACAGTTACATGAAACTGAATACCATTACCATCATGATACCATTTTTATGCCAGCTTGGCTCATTTTGATAGCGCTCTTGCCTCTGAGACAGAAGATTGTGTGTTCAAGCCCCACGTCGAGCATTTGAGCTCATAAGGTCTACTGCAGTGCAGTGCTCCCAGACACTATCCTGCATGAAGGGCGCTATACAAAAGCAAGTTGGTGTTGGTGCATTGTTAAAGAGGTGGACGTTAAAGATTCCACGCCACTGTTTGAAAAGAGAATGGAGGGAGTTTCTCTTGTCCTGGTCAACAAATGCCTTAAGTAAAAATGGACGTTCTTCATTGTGGTTTGTGAGATATCGCTGTGAGTAAATTGGTTACCATGGTCACCCCCCTCCCCCCGGCTCGGAGCTAATCCCCACCACTGTTAAGCACTCTGGGACGCTACCCAGCGTGAGGCGTGCTACATAGTGCAAGCTATTGTTGTCTGTACTGTAGACCTCTTGCAGTGTAGGAGAGCTTTGCTGATTGTTGCCCTTGTGTGGCTGTGCAGCTTTGGGAGACCATCTCTGAGGAGGCCAGTCTGAGTGGAGAGCCACTATTTCTGCCCCTCCCGGAATCGCCAACAGACGAACCTCTGACCAGCCCCCCCGACATCTCCGACGAGCTTAATGTGAGACTACAAGTGGCTGCGGAATCCAACGGGGAGCCGACGAGCCCGCTTGGCGTGAGTATATGCTTCAACAATGGATGGAACGGGTCAGGGAGACCTGCGTTCGGAGGAAGAATTAATCCACGACTTTTTGTGGGATGTTGCTATATACACAATTGCCTGTCGCGATTCGCCGACAAAATATACAATCAATTCACTTTACAGCGTATTCTGTGAAGTGTTTTAAGATGTCTCAATGATACGATAAGGCGCTATATCAAATACAATGATGATTATTATTTTCATTATTATTATCATCTCTGGTATACCTCCTGGGGATTGGAGAAGGCCTGAGGCCAGCTTGCCGTATGGCTTGTTTGCTTGCCTGCGTGATGCAGGACAAAGAAAGCTATGAGCTCCCTGAAAAATCTTGGGAGTCTTTCCACCATGAAGCAAAGTGAGCCATACATGCTGGGTGCCCTGCCTCTTGAAAAGCCATGCTCATCATATAAATTAAAAGTAAATACACATCAATTCACTGCAGTTAGTGGCAACAATAAGTAAGCAGTAAGTAGGAACCCGGTTGTTAGTCAAATGGCAGATCACTTTCCAGGGATAATGAATCCCTCAAAAGAATGGTCACTCAATCCACGACTGTTTGTGGGACTCCACTGTGTGCAATTGGCTGCTGAGGTTCGCCCGCAAACTACACACTCAATACACTTGCCAGTGTATTCTGTGAAGCGCTTTGAGAGGTCTCGACGACGTGATAAGGCGCTATGTCAAATGAATTACTTAGAATTATATTATTATATCAAGCGATCACTTGTTGTGTGTCGGAGAAGTTGGAATCTACCGGGAGGCCATATTCAAAGTCAGTGAACAAATTAGCCAGTCGTGTGATCGGGTTGGTTTTCATCCTTCGTGTTGTGTTACAACCTGAACTGAGTTTCAAACCGCGATCACCAAAGCTGCTGCTTTCCTTCTATCTCAGATAAATTGACTTCAGGTTGCTGCCTGGGGAGGAACTGGCTCTCAGATCCACCTTTATTTCATTGATCAGTGTCCGCATAGCACCTCCAGGGATCCCCCTCTGCCTCACCCCCTCCCTTGTATCCTTTCACGTCGGTCTCAAGATCTTCCTCCTTGACTGCGCCTTTGATTTGAAAGCCACAATATGAATTGTGTTGTTTTTTGTTCTATTCACAGGACGAACCTCTGGCAAGGTTGCGCTCCGCTAGCGTGACAGATGGCATGGGAGAGCCGCCTGCAGCCGCCATGGTAAATCCCTCCAAATGGCAATTTATTCCGGTCTCTCCCTCTGCCTCCTCCTCCTCCTTCTGTCTGTCATGATTATCTCTTGCTTTGGCAAGTCCTTCTTTCTTGCGAGACACACTCAGGCGTTTTTCAAGCCCCCTTTTGTTTAAGGGACCATCAATTGTTTGCGCGCCTCGAAGTTGAGGGATCGTGAGCAGGAAGCGGAAACCTGTATCCAGTGAAGTTTAAATCCCCATCAGCAGCCGTGCAGGCTCCTGAAGATTATGCGAGAGCTTTAGTTACATGGCGAGATTGGAGAAAGGAGAGGGTAGTTTTTCACTTGAACAAAGAGAAGGAGAGTTGCTAGAGGTGTTCAAAGTTTACAATGAGTTTTTACTAAAGTGAACAGAGAGAAATTGTTTCCAGTTAACAGTTAGGTGGAGGTCATAGATTTGAGATTTTCGCCACCAGATTTAGTGTAAAAAGGCTGAGATTGGTGGTGGTGGAGGGAGAAAGGTGACCAAAGATGCAGTTGACAAGGTAGACCATAGAGTATTTTTTTCAAAGGTGGGGATGGAAAAGAGAGGTGAGGCAAGAGGGACTCCGTGATGGACCGTTGGCACAAACGAGAGAGAAGTTCTTTAGATGCGACCAGAAGATGGGGAAGGAGGAGGCAAGGCGGAAGGATTGAGAAATAGTGTTCCAGAGTTTCGGGGCCCAGTGGCTGAAAATGTGGTCACCAATGGTGGAACGGAGGACATGAGGGACAAACAGGAGACCGGCGATATGTAATGGAATGGGGAAAAGCAGGTTGGAGAGAGTAAGCAGAAATCACATGTGTGTCTGGTGCAGACTCACACCCACATCTGGTTAATTTAGTTTGGCCTTTGGGTTCCCAGTGCCTCCTTACAGAAGCTGTGCAAAGACCCTGTGGAGATGCGTTTGTCTGTGGAGAGACTTATTTAAACTTCACTCTGGTTTGCAGTTCAACACGCAACCACCTTCCCTCTCATCCCAGGCAATCTCGCTTAGGAAGCTTGGATAGTTTTGTTTGCAAGAAAAAAAAGGCTTGGTGAAACATTCTTTCTTGGCGCCGCTTTGCAGGACTTTGGTTCAGAGCAAAGTCAGAAAATTCCAGCAATATTTATGGGTGGGCGGGCCGGAAGGAGAGTGGGGGTGGTGGAGGGGTAGGGCACAGAGTTGCTGAAGGAATCAGTATCCCCAAAGGTACCATATGACTTGATGTCTTGGGGATTATCCTTTTTAAAGCTGACTTGATTTTAACCTGCAACAAGTTTAGAGATGCAGTTGTCAACCCAAAGATACAAATTTCACTGGTTGCTGGATTTTTCAGTTTTGTTCTTTACTGGTGGGGTTGGACGTGACTTGGTGTGAACATAGCAACTGGTTGGTCATCGGACATCTGGTGTTCATGGTGACTTTTGGGAGGAGGATGTGGGGAGGGCTTTGTTGCTTTGGGGACTTTCGTGGACTCACATCTTCGGAAACAGGAGGGGTGAAACACGCAAATAAGGCGACCGTTTAAAGAGTAGAGCCAGGGCAGGTCAACAGTGCTTGGATATTAATCCACTAAACCACACTGCAGTTTTACAGATTAAGTTTTTCTGATGCAAAATGCGGAGCAAACAGTACACAGGCCAGGGAAACTGGGTGCAGCCCTTGCCTCATTTGCATCTTAGCACCGTATTTGACTGCCTGCGTTTTGTTAATCATAATGATTAGGAGTTTTTAGGTATTTGCAAATCTCTTAGATGTTGAAGTCGTACCAAGACGGTATATTTGGTGTCCCCAGTGCGTTTCATTTTCTTCTTTTTTTCTTCTTCTGGAGTAATAGCTAGCATTTGTATCTTAATATTCAAAAGATATAATGCATTAGCTGTAAGTTGCATCGGAGGTGATGTTAAAAGTGCTAACAAAAAGAGTGTCTCAAAATACGTTCTTCAAAGGATCTTCACTGAGAGAGGGTGTGGAGTCATTGTATAATATGATATAGTATTGTGTAATATAATAATAATATACAAACTATGATGATATGATAGAATATCGTTTAATGTGATAATATTATACGTATAATAAAAATCCTTGCATTTGGTATAGCGCCTCTACTGTAATGGAGTTTACTGCAAACATTTACTGTGAAGTGGAGGTAGTGTGTATCTTTAGGTGAATGGAGCAGCCCAATTGTGGACAGCAGTGACATCGGAAGAGGAATAGGACAGACGGCTCAAGGAGCCTGACCCACCACTTACGAGACCTTGCCCGATCTGAAATTTAATTCAACCTTCCTGCCCTCTCTCCATATCCCTCTATACCCCTGTCTATCGCGCATATATATATATTTGCCTTTTAAATTTTTCAGCTCTCTGACTCTGCCTGCACTTCCCTCTGGGTTGAATGAATTCCACATTCCCACCACCCACTGTGTGGAAATTTGCTTCCTTATTTCACTTCTAAAGGGTTTAGCTTCACCTTAAAGTCTATGGCCTCCAGTACTTAATTCTCTTTCCAGAGAAAACAGTTGTTCACTATTCACCCTGTCAAATCGCTTCATAATTCTATACACCTTGATCATGTCCATTGTTCATGCATGACTCTTGGCAGTACAAGTCAGCCTGACCTCTCCCACCCGGCTGCCACACATGCACACAACTAGTAGAGAGTGCGGTAGCAAGAACCCGGTTTGCTTTTCTGTGTTGTGAGTGCACACTTAGTTGCACTTTAGCTGGGCAGTGTGTGCTCCTCTGTCTCCCGTCCCTCTGCACCTCTGCTGAAAACGGAGATTTAGTTTCCCAGCGCAGTGTTCCACAGGGGGGACCACAACATAGCTGGAACTCGCTAATTACGAATCCCATTTTGCAGCTCCAGCAATTTTTATAATTTAGACCCAGCTGCGTGCGTTATGGGCAACTATCAGTGGCTCCATCCTTTGGAACTCCATCCCAGACTCCCTTTGCCTCACCCACTTCCTTGCCTCCTTCAAGGCCAGTCTCAAGACCTTCCTCTTCGACTGCGCCTTCGGTCACCCTTCTACCCTCCCCGCCCTCCACCCTGCCTGATCACAACCCTCTGCTTGGGTCCAAGTCTGTGACTGTCCAGGGCCTTGGGATATCCTCCTGACATGAAAGGCGCTGTACAAATATAATTGTTGATAGTTGATGTTGCGTCCCCTCTGTTCACCCAGCAGGTGGTATTTGTCCCTGTTCGTTTTCCCCAACTTCTCAGTTGACTTTAGTAGGGAGCCCAGCAAACTCGCTAACCATTCCACTTGGGCTTATTTCATCAGGACCATTTCAGCTTGAAAAATTTGAGATGGCGTGGAAATCGAGAAACCAGAATCTTGCATCCAGTCTTAATTTTGAAGCATTTTTTCCACGCTTATTTTTCTTTAAGAAGCACAAAAAAAGCTTCCAAGTTAAAAAAAGTAGCTTCCAAGTTAAAACAATAACTTGTGTTCAACAATGCACTTCATGACTCAAAATGCTGTCAGAAAGATAAGTTTTGAGACATACCTTAAACAAGGGTCGGGAGGCGGCGAGCAAGTCAGAGGTTGGAGTTCTTGAGGGATGCAACTTTGAGCGAGTTATCTGAGTATTTAAAAAAAGGTTCTGTCACCTCAGAACAGAGAGTGGGAGACCTTGATACCTTCTGTTCTCTCACACTAAAAGTCAGTCTTTTCTTTTGGGAGCCAAAGTGGTACTCAAATGTCTTTTAGGAGAGAAACCAAGGCTTTGGATATTTTTGAGATGTCTTATTTGAAAGACGTGATACCAAATGCAAGGATTATTATTATTGTTATTATTTCACTGTTGACTATAGATGCTCCTTTCTGTTTGCATCCAATAGATGGAGGTAGTTTTGCTTGGCTTTTTATAGTAAGATTCAGTGTCTGGTAATTTGCTGTTAAGTCAACACTCCAAGCTTTATTGGTGCTCCCATTTCTACTAACCTGCTTTGCGGATTACAAAGGCTTTGCAATGGTTAACCCAAATCTGGTTGAAATTGGTTTTTGATTTTTTTTTGGGGGGGGTAACACTAAATTGGAAATATCATTAATTATCCGTTTATATAACAAAAAAATTAACTCAAGTTATTAGAAATTCCACTTTCCACCAATGTCTCTTTTTTAAAAAAATATACAATTCCAGCAAATTGTGAAGTTTAAGATGTCGATTGGGAAGATGTTGGCTGTGGTTCCACAACAAACTGTGGTTACACAACAAACCAATGCAAAACCTTGTTCCTCTAACATGAATCGTTTCCTGCTCCGGGAATGTGGATTTCCAGAAACATTCCCAGAAAATGGAAATGTACTTCTTTGACACAAAAAAGAGGTGATCCTTTCTCGAATCTGAAATCATCTCTATAATTTCTACTTTACTTATATTAACTTAGTTGCTCGTAATTTTTATATCTACTTATAGATTTATATATATTTCTATATCTATACATATATATAAATATTTTATATCTATACAAACCCACACAATGGCATTATGATTTATCAGCAGACCAGCCCACCTCCAAGACCTCGTTCTTCAACTGTTACAGGTGGTGAACAATCAAATGAACTGACGGTAATTCACTCAGCAACAAAATAAATCAGCGTTTGTTCTTTATACGCAGGTTTATCTGATAAATTGTGTTGTAAGTTTGGCTGAAGACTTGAGTTTTTGCTATCAGTACCTCTCCTCCCTCTCATTTAAAAGGAAATTGGGATAGACATAAACATCCCCATCATCTGTCCTATTAATATTGTAATCATCTCTTGTTTAGACGCTGAATTAATTGGGTGCAAGAGTTACTTTCACGAGTTATTACTGTTATCTCGTTATCATCGTGTGGACGGTGAGAGGATGGTTGTTGATCATGAGCTGAATTGCCATCAACAGAGACCGTCGTAAAACTAGGATGATTTCATATCCTATTGTATTGATGGGTTCATTAAATCGTGCAAGACCAACCCGGCACCAAAGCCAAAGCAAGGCAGTGTCCATCTAAACATGAAACAACCTTGTAGCAAAAATTGACCCCAAAAAGTACCTGTTGGTCTCATCTGTTGTGACCGACTTTGCGAAGGGGGTTCCTGATGGCGAAACTCACTTTAGTAAGCTAAAATGAAGTGATTTTTTTGACTCGTGCTCCTTCCGAGTGCTGAATTAGCTGGTGAATTACAGCATTAGTTTGCGATTAACCGGTTCATGTAGTGACTGCACTTTCAGTACGCTTAAAGGAGTGCTCTCCTTTGGATCCGGTGCAGGTGGTATCAAGTTCAGGATGAGAAATGATTGGAGTGCAGTAAAATGGCTGTTAAATGTCTCATCTCATAGAATTATACAATTATACAACACGGAAAGAGGCCGTTCGGCCCATCGTGTCTGTGCCAGCTCTTTGAAAAGAGCTATCCAAATCAATCCCACTTCCCCACTCTCTCGCCAATCTGTCTGAGCTGCGTGTGGGGGAGACAGGAAGACAGAGGTATTGGTATCAGGTAAAACAAATTTAACTCCCTCACTCATCGCACTGATGTTTCCTTCAGTCTATGGAACCGAATATGATCCGTATAGCCACGGGAGGGCTATGTCTTCTGTGCTTAGGCTCTGATTAAAGGGACGCTAACCACAATAGATATCCGGCTACAATTGTTGCATCTCCTCACATTGCTTTATCCTCCCCTTTAATAAAGTGTTTCTCATCCATTCCCATCTCCCTGGGAAAGTCCAAGAGAAAGCCACTCGGGTGCTCAGACGTATTCTTGAGTTTATGAATCTGAAATCCCCGACCTATGTGTCATCTCCACTCCCCTTGGTCTGGTGAATCAGCGTCTGTGTGTAAGATTAATGATGCTCCCCGCCGTGCCACAGGAACTGCTTATATTTCCCTGCTCCCAGCGCTGCTTAATTGGACGCCTCAAGTAAGCCGGTCGTGTCCGTCTGCAACCAACCGTAGCAAATCGCCCAACGCTACTAGTCAAACGTGGTAATATTAACCAGCACATCTGTTCCCAAAGGCTCAGAGCCCAGGATAAGCCTTTAATCCTCAATTTGGGTCTGCAGTGTGCATCTTCGCTGCTGAGCGACCAAGTCTGGCCAAGGTTATAATCCTCGAAATCCCAAGTCACCCAGTTCAGTAAATCAATGTCGCTCCCAGGCTTCTCGAGCAGCGCTGTGTTTGATTTTTTTCTTTTTTTGGTGTGTGTAGTGACGATGGTAATGACGGTGGTGGTAACTGTCCTTCGTTCAAAGCTGGTTGTTTTAAAAGGGGAAAGCTGGCACCGACAAGGACGAGAAGGAGCTTGGAGATAAAAGAGAGAGAGCGAGCTTAATGCTGCATATCTGAAATGAAATGCAACTGCTGGTCCTCGCTAAAGTGTTTCACCCAAAACACTGGTTTCTCCCTTTCTCAGCAGCTGATCTTGTTGTTGTGCGTTTCGCCCCCAAATACACTTTACAGTCTACCCTGTGAAGCGCTTTGAGATGTCTCAACGACCTGATAAGGCGCTATAGCGAATGCAAAGATTATTACTGTTACTATTATTTTCAGCGTTTTCTGTTTCTGTTTCCTCTTTACTTCAGATGCCGTAGAAATCAAAAAGATCTCAGCACACTTCGAGGCCATTGGCCAATGTTGCCTGTGCCTTGCTAGCAACTTGTCCACCGCTCCCCTCCCTCACTCCCATTATTTGCTCGAGCCCCATTACCCCGTTCTTTTCAATGCTCTTTGAGCAGCAATATCAGCAACGCCTTGCATTTACACAGCACCCTTCATGCAGGAGAGCGCCTTGGACCACCACACACTGACCAAGGGGGGAGAGGGAGGTGACCATAAGAGGTAGATCATAACGTGGGATTTAACGATGGATAAAGATGGATTGAGGCAGGGAGTTCAGGAGTTTTAAGGGAATAGTGGCTGAAGGCACCAAGGTTCAAACAGCTATTTAACTTTGTTTTGTTTTAATATGCCTTAATCTTGCGCAGACGCCACTGATTAATACATCCCCTTTAAGAAATGGGTTACACGAGGATTAAAACTTGGGCCGATTTCTGTTCCTCTTTAACACACACCCGTTTTAGTGCCAAAGTTTTTACAGCTTTTATATCCTGTAGTTTAGGATTAGCTTTAGTTTCGCAATCATCTCCATCATATATAAATGTGTGTTTGTATTATATATATAATATATTTTGTTTGTTACTATTTTGTTTTGGTCAGTATTCAAACCAAACTGAGAACTCTATGCATCCCACCCACACATGGAAATTCCAGAGATAGACTGTTGGAAAGGGATGCACACTGTAATCCCTGGAGGGACGCAGCCAGTTTACCTAATTCCGGAAAGTATTAGGCGCAGGTAGACAAGACCCAAGGCTTGGGGACCCCAGATGTACTGTATACACATGGTAACCAAAAAGTTGTGATACCATTATCAATCTCTAATAAGTCTGAAACAAATAATGAAGAAATATAGTAATAATTATTAAAATAAATGGTTTCCCAGCTTTTTAGTCGCCCTATATAATTGTAAACAAAAGAGATCAAATTTTGGGGGCAGTTATGAATCTCTTCCCTGCAAACGTGAAGAACTGTGCTTGTGGTTTTGCCCATTAATAGTTTTGGTTTGGCCTAGAGTCCAACTCATGTCAGCCAAACCACGATGATGAATAGGAACGAAGAAAATCCTTGCGTTGAGTCATGCAGCTCCCTCCTACTTCAGCAATTTTTATTTTGGAACGGATCCCTTCAGAGCTGGGTTTTAGGCAGAAATCCATAGAAAAGGTATTTCAGTAAGTGTTGCCACACCACCGATCCATTTGAAACAGACACACTTGTCCGATCCATTTGAAACAGACCATTGAGACTTTGTGCGGAGTCCTGTAGCGTATTGGTTAGAGCAGTTGCCTCGTGAGCAAGAGTACCCGGGTTCGATTCCCAGGTTGGGCAAAAGCTTAGGCAAGTTCCTTACCTAGATTATTTACCTCCAGTTTATTTACCTAGCAGTAAGTAGACACCCGCTTGTTAGTCGATTGGCAGTTTGCTTTCCCAGGGGTTAATAATCCCTTTATTTTTTTAAATAAAATAAACAAATAAAATAATAATAATTTGTCACTGTTTTGCCTACAAAACATACAAGTCAATTCACTTTACAGTATATTCTTTGAAGCACTTAGAGACGTCTCAACGACGTGATACGGTGCTATATCAAATGCAAGGATTATTAATCTTAATATTATTAATATTATTATTTTGTCCAAGCTATTTCCCTCTTGGGCTCTTTAAGGAGACATCTATTGGTTGTGTGTACTCTGTTTTGGGTTGTGTAAACGTGCTATCTGTTCGCTGTTTCATCCACTTTTTTCTAAATTATTATTTCTGTTTTGCTTTAGTAAAAATGTGCGCTTTTTATAAAAGTTTTCCTTTGCTTAGAAAAGCTAACTTAAAATTTGATCATCTTGCACAAGCAGTCATCAGCAGCCTACGAGCTCACAACCCCTGGCTTACCACCGGGGTGGGAAGAGAGGAAAGACACAAAGGGACGTTCCTATTATGTAAACCATAACAGCAGAACTACCACTTGGACACGGCCGATTGTACAGGTACGAGGACTGTGCCCCTGAGCAACTCAAAAGAGCAAGAAGATGCTAATGGTATAATGGGACACTCATTCTTTTTTCCTCTCCCTGAGTTTTTATGCTGATCATTTTTTTGTGTGTGTATGTGCGCGTATGTGTTTGTTTATTTTTATTTTGCCGGCACTCGCCGATTATCCCAGAACTGAGAGGTTATACCTATCAGGAAAGGCTGAACATACTTGGACTCTTCTCTTGAAAACAGGAGGGTAAGGGGTGACCTGATAGAATTCTTTAAAATTATGTAAGGTTTTGATAGGGTAGACATAGGGAAGATGTTTCCACTTGTGGGGGAGACCAAAACCAGGGACCATCAATATCAAATAGTCACAAATAGATCAAACAGGGAAGTTGAAAGAAATTTCCTCACACAGAGAGTAGTGGGAATGTGGAACGTGCTACCACAAGGAGTTGTTGAGGCAAATAGCATAGATGTATTAAAGGGAAAGCTCGATAGGTACATAAGGGAGAAAGGAACAGAAGGTTATGCTTGAAGGCTTAGTTGAGGAAGGGAGGAGGCGGCTCATGTGGAGCATAAACACCGGCATAGACCAGTTGGGACGAATGTTTCTGTGCTGAATTTCCAATGTATTCCTGCAGTGCGCAGGGTTAGAGCCGTGCCCCCCCCCCAAATACAAATAGGGTCCCTTGAAACCAACCCATAACGCTGGTCAGTGGATTGGTTAAAGCACTCGAGAAGACCTGGGTTCCATTCCTGGGCGTGGTGAAATCCTTAGGCAAGTTTCCTTACTCCACACTCCTCTGTTTACCTTGCAGTAAGTAAGAACCCGGTTGTTGGTCGATTGGCGGATTGCTTTCCGGGGTAATAATACCTTTTAAAAAAAATGTGGTCACTGTTTGTGGGACACTGTTGTGCAATTGGGTGCCACGTTTCGACCACAAAATACGCAGTTAATTCACTTTACAATATATTCTGTGCTTTTGAGTGCTTTGAGACGTCTCAACGACGTGATAAGTTGCTCTATCAAATGGAAGGATTATTATTAATATTTAAAAAACCCTAACCTATGTCAATGTGTATGTATAAATGTATATATTTTTTAAACAATCTGTCGCAATCCATGTTTAAAATGACAACCCAAGCCTGGTATTTGCTTGCTAAAGGTGCTTTTACCCTTCAGAGCCACTTTGGAAATCAGGATGTAATTTTGGTATCGGGATATTTCCTTAGGTTTTCTTTTTCAATTCAAGCCACTGGTTGCATAATTTGCATTGCATTGACAGTAGGCGTTTTAAACTGACAAAATGTTTTATCTGTGGAGGTTTGGGAAGTCCGTAGGGTATTGGTTAGAACACTAGCCTTGAAAACAAGGGCACCTGGATTCGATTCCGGGGCGGGCGAAACCTTAGGCAAATTTCCTCACTCCACATGCCTCTGTAGAAACCCAGTTGTTAGTTGATTGATGGATCGCTTTCCATGGGTAATAATCCCTTAAAAAAATCACTCAATCCACAACTGTTTGTGGGATATTCTGTGCGCAATTGCCTGCCGCTTTTTGCCTATAAGATATACAGTCAATTCGCCTTACAGTATATTCTGTGAAGCTTTGAAGCACTTGGAGAAATCTCGAAGACGTGATAAGGAGCTATATCAAATGCAAGGATTATTATTACGGATTTGCAAATAATGAATGCTCCACGTACCCGAGTGTGCCTCACACTTGCCCACCGGACACTGACCAAAGAAAACTCGACCTCTGGCGAGGTCGACTCGATTGGGTCATGTGCAAGATTTGATATTTGCCAATCGACCACAGATTCTCGAGACTCTCAGATCTGAGAACAGGCTGGCAGAGCTGATCTTGTTTGCACAGGAGAAAAGAAGATTGAGAGCAGATGTGATCGTGTCTTTGTAAAGCTGAAACACATAGATGTGGGCATGTGACCTTGAGGACAGGACAATAGAGGCTAACAGTTAACAAGCCTGAAACCTGCCTGGAGATTGCGAGAACTTTTCCTCTTTCACCTTCCCCACTTCCCTGCTTTGTCCAACATCCACAGTAGTTGATGTGAGTGTTGATTAAAAAAAGATCCGTGTAACTGGAGGAGTCCAGAAGCGTATTGGTTAGCGCACTCGCCTCGCAAGCGAGAGGACCAGGGTTTGATTTCCATGCAGGGCGAAACTTTAGACAAGTTTCCTTACTCCAGGCACCACTGTTTACCTAGCAGTAAGTAGGAACCCGGTTGTTGATCAATTGGTGGATCGCTTTTTTGGGGGAAATAAAAAAAATAATTGGGTCACGCAATCCATGATTGTGTGAGGGACGCTGCTGTATGCAATTGGCTGATGCGTTTTGCCCACAGAATATTCTGTGAAGTACTTTTGAGACTTCTCGAAGATGCCATAAGGTGCTATATCAAATGCAAGGATTATTATTATTGTTAAATATCTGATTGAAGGGGAGGAACGATGTCCACTGGGATGAGTCAATTCTCTCGACACAATAGCTTCTGTGCTGATGGGGCTCAGAGCATCTGTGTCTGATGAATGTAGGTGGTCTGGATTTAATAGCTGAGAGGTGTGGAGTCCTGTAGCTCAGTGGTTAGAGCACTCGCCTTGTAAGCGAGACACCTGGGTTCAATTCCAAGCAGGACGAAACCTTGGGCAAGTTTCCTTACCCACACGCCTAATAATCCTCAAAAAAAAACAATAATAAATTGGTCATTTTCAATCCTCGACTGTTTGTGGGACACTGCTGTGTGCAATTGGCTGCCACGTTTCGCCCACAAATATACGGTCAATTCACTTTACAGCATATTCTGTGAAGCGCTTTGAGACGTCTAGAAGACGTGAAAAACGGTGGGAATGAGTGGAAATACTGAATTTAGGTCAACTCAGGCCTTGGGAATAATCATACACAAATTTCCTTCAGAAAGTATGGGAGGGTGGGTGGAATATGGAAGATAGCAGAAGTGGACATGTAGCCTTTTCTTATTCAATATATTCAGATGCCAAATGGCTTACCTGTATCCATTTATATGACAAAAATTGTAGAGAACAATACCACACAGAACAAACCTCACGAGTGGTTAACATGTAGTTTTATCGATGAATGTTTCAAACTTTTTAAAGTTTTTTTAAGTCAAAACCACCATACAGGCACACGGGTACTTCACTATAAAGAGTATTTTTTTTTATCCTGCGTTTCCAATAAGATTTTAAAAAATGATCCCCCGCAAATACGGAGTTTGGATTCAGTCCCAGAATATTCCCACTTCAATCCATCAGTGTTTTCTGGTTGAGGTGAAGTGGAGAAAGAGAGAACAGAAAGATGCGTAGCAGCAGAATGTAATTGTGACTGTGTAAAAGTGGATTAACATTGAATGACTGAAAATCTGAATTTTTGCCTTTTTCTACTTAAAAAAAAATCCCTTAGCCTTTCAGCACACTGGTGTTAGTGCGAAGATAGGAGACGTGATCAGCGCCATTAAATGCGTACGCACTAATATGTTCATTTATGTATTCCTGTGTGCGGGAATTTTCGAGGGTTAGCATATCAGGGTGGTCCAACTGGTGGCCCACGGTCCACATCCGCCCGGGGGCCAATTTCATCCGCACCCCCCCTCCCTATTTCATCTCGCCCATTCGTTCCTTCCATAAACCTATAAATGTAGCGTTATATTTCTGGAGGGAAACACAAAAATTATTGCTTATGCAACCTGCAGATGCTTCTCGAATAGGTCATCCCGGCCACGGCAACCAAAAGGTTGAACCAACAACAACAAATGACACTTGTACAGCGCCCTTCACATCAGAAAGACGTCCTAGGGTGCTGGCCGGCCCGGGGTTATTGGACCACCCTGGATAAGCATTTTTAGGGGGTTGTAGAGACCTTTTACGATCCCTTAAGTGACCTAAGCTTCAGAGGAAGCGCTTGCGCGCTAAGTACTAACTTATTCTTCTTCCTACTGTCAGCATGCAGATGATGGTGCTCCGGTTCCCACAGCCAACAGCAGCCACTTAAGTGAGCCTCAGATAAGGCGTCCTCGCAGTCTCAGCTCACCCACAGTAACTTTGTCAACCCCGATTGAGGTGAGAGTGGAGGGTTCTCCTGCACCCTGCAGGACTCTCAAATCACCTTAACATTTCATTCTTTCTTTCCTACCTTCCTTCCTTTCACAACGTGTTGCTTTCAGCCAGGGCAAACCATTCATCGAATGTCTTTCCAGGCTGATCACTTATTATTCTTTTAACTACTGTGTGATAATGATTCTTTTCTTTTAAAAAAACTCTTTTCCTCCCTTTCCCCTTTGTAAAGCGATTCTCTGCATGCATAACTTCTCATAATCAAGAGTTTTTCCTGTGTTTTTTTTAAAACTAAATCAAAGTAACTATCCAACTCAGTGTGCTTAGTTACACTCAAATAGTGGTCAACCGGTGTCAACTTAAGAAGCCAGAACCAGACTCTGCGAAAAGAAATATAATCTATTTAAATGCATTTACAATTGAGCTTTCGGGATTTCAAGTCTTCAGGGCAAGTGTGGACCTGATGTAAAAGATACACAAATTGACTGATTTTCTGAGAATCATTAAACTTTGATTCAAACAAACAAGCATAAGAATGGGAGCAATCTTGTTTCTGGACCTCCTCTTAGTTACAAGAATCTGTTGACCACTATTTAAAAAGGAATTGCTGTCCATGTTCCACAACACCACACCCCAAAACAAAACACAGTGAAATAGTTTGGTGTAAATTAGTCATTTATCGATAAGCTTGCAAGTGGTGGGGAAATATTTCTGTAGACTTATTCCTATGTTCTAACCATTGTGTTGCTCATTATGCACCAGGTTACTGCACCAAACTATTTTGGTCATCACAACATTTTGTATTCTGGCAAGAGTGTGTGGAAACATCCATTTGATTAAGTTCGGAAATGATGTTTCACTAGGGCCTTGGAAGGGGGGAATGATGAGATATTAAGATTGGGCTTTGAGAAGACTTTTAACCTGTCACTCAAAGGACTGGTAGTTTTCGGTGGGGGGTGTGTGTGTGGGGTAGAGGAGTGATTATTTGCATAGATTTAGCACTATGCCTATTGCATTTGCTGTGTTCTCTGATCGTACCCAGTGAATTTGGATTTAGGATACATTTTGGATAACTGGATTAGGTAAATGTCTTTGTGATGTGGGGAGAGGATTGGAGGGCACTAGATGGGGAGGGGAAGAGAAGAGAGGGGGAAATGATTGCTAGAAATGTTGATTTTATTTGAGCAATACACTTAAAGTCTGTAATTTGTCAGAAATGTTTGATTGGTGTATTGGTGATTTGTCTTTGAATGTCTGTATTTGTTTGTATTTTACTTTATTCCAGTTTTGTGTGAAGTCTGATTATTTCCCTCCACTTCCAGTTAGTGTCGTTCATGATATCAAATTCTGTTATTGTAAGGAAACTGATATCAGCTTAGCTCAGTTGGTAGCAATCTTGCCTCGTAGTCAGATGCTGTGGGTTCAAGCCCCACTTTGAACTTGGAATCATATAGGCTAAGCTGACACTCCAGTGCAGTACTGGGAATATGCTGCATTATCGGAGATGCCGTCCGTCAAATGAGAAGTAAAGCGAGATCCTAGCAGCCTTTCTCTATTCGAGAAGAGATGGAAGTTTCTCCCAGTGTCCCAGCCAACAATCCCCCAGATACAATTAGTTATTCACTCCATGGCTGTTTATGGGACATTGCAATTTGGCTGCTGCATTCATCCGTAAAACACACAGTCCCTGCACTTTACAGGACATCCTATGAAATGCTTTGAGATGCCCTCCTGACATGAAAGGCACAGTACCAAATGTAAAGATTATTACTAAGGATTATTAAACGTGCAGAGAAAAAAGTGAGGTGGTGGAAGCAGAAAGTGTCGATGCATTCAAGAACAAATCAGACAGATCTCTGTTAGGAAATAATATCTCGGGATCCAGTATTTAATTTGTGACACAACATGGCATACGACTGCCGGGATGGTGGAAGGTAAACTGGAGGGACCTTCTATCCTCCAGCAATTCTTATGTTCTTATATTCCCCTCTGTTCCATGAGCACGTTGTCTTATTTTGCCTTTTCAAACTCACTGGGGTTTGAAGGGGAAGCTCTTTTTTGCTGGGGGCTGAAGAGCACAAGACTGTATATTTCTCCCACAAGAGCTCCTGTGATGCCTGGCTGACGACTGAGGCCTTGTTGTCCAGGAGAGATGGGAATCTCATCAAATGACACTTGGCCAAATGCAACAAAGCCACTCTCTTCTGCAAACACGGATGTTTACCAGAGTAAAGGGAAAGGCTCAGAGGAATAATGTGGAATTATTATTTTTGGCTCTGACAGAATAGTTATCGGCACCTATTTGATGATGTCTGTTTAACCCTTGAGATCGCTGTCATATACATTTTTTTATTTTAAAAAAACCCCCAAAAGGCTGAAAATTCTCATGGACGCTGACAAGCTATGCGGTTTTAGCTGATTAGACTCCAGCAGTTACCCCAACGCACACTCTGGGGTCCCCCAAGCCTTGGCTCTTGCCAACCTGTGCCTAATAATTACCGGAATTAGGTAAGCAGGATGTGTCCCTCCAGGGAGAGAGAGCGCATTCCATTCCAACAGTTTATCTCTGGGATTTCCATGTGTAGGTGGGATGCATGCAATTCGCAGTTTGGTTTGGAGACTCTTTAGCACGGGGTGATTGGTTTCCGCATATGTCAGACACCCAGCTGACCAAAAAAAAATCACACAGTGCGGAGGGAACTGTGCATAACACCAAACATGAATTTTAACCCAAAAGAGGGGCAGATTGCTTAGGTTACTCGAGTCGGGTCCCTCTCTGAAGTGTATTAAGTCCTGGGTCAATCACAATGACAACGAGGCTCGGTGAGTATCTCAATGCATCAAATTCAGTCACAGCAATGTCACCAGGTTGAAGCTGAGGCCAGATTGGTTGGGTTCACAGCAGGGGACGTGTTTTATTTGCAGTGGGGAGTGTAGGCGGGTTGCATGGAACTCTCAGTTCGGTTTGGTTAGTTTCAAACACGGTGATGGGTTTCTGTGTGCGTGTGTAAGACACCCGGCCGGCCAAAAAAAATGTCTTCATGTGCATTGAATTAAAGTCAAATGGATTTATCTGAAATGGGATGCCCATCTCTTTAGGTTTCAAGCACGAGCTAACTAAATATATATTATATATATATATGTACACATTTTTTTATAATGTTGAACAGGTTGGTGATCAGCCTCACTGCTCACAGACTGGTGTGAGTATTAACACTCTCCTTTTTATTTCAGGGCGCGAGAGATTCTCCTCTGCGCAGACCTCCGAAGGACACCTTCTCCACCCCTCAGTCCCCGCAGCTTTCACCCTACAATTCACCAAAGCCCCTGAACAAGGCTTCACAGAGCTTCCTGCCTCCTGGCTGGGAAATGCGCATTGCTCCCAATGGCCGCCCGTTCTTTATCGACCACAATACAAGAACAACGACATGGGTAAGTGCTAGCCTTTCTACCCCCTCCCACTCTCTCCCCCCACCCCCTCTCCACCCCAACTCCCTCTCTACCCCACACCCCCCTCTCTCTATCCACACACCCCCCCTCTCTCCCCGCCATGCCCTCTCACTTTCTTCCTCCTCTCTCCCTCTCACTCTTCCTCTCCTCTTTCCTTCTTCCCTCCCCCCTCTCTCTTCATCTCTCTTTGCTCGCTGTTTGTCTCTTCTCTCTCTCTCTTTTCCTTCTCCCCTCTCTCTTTCACTCTGCCATCCTCATCTCCCCTTTTCTCTTTATTTTGCCCCCTTCTCTTTCTTCAGCCACCGTGTTTTGCCTACAAAATATATAGTCACTACACTTTACAGTGTATTCTGTGAAGCGCTTTGAGACGCCTTGAATAAGGCGCTGTATCAAGTGCAAGGCATATAATAATAGATTGTCTTCTTCTCTCTTTCTCTCCCTCTGTTTTCCCGTCTTTCTACATCTACTCCTCTTCTTTGTCTCTCTTTCTCTCCCAGCCCTCTCTTTCGTTTTGTCTCCCTCTCTCCCACCTCTTTGTCTCTCCCTTTTTCTCCTTCGCCCCCTCTCTGTCTTTCTTTCTTGCTCTGTTTAATAGAACTGTATTTTGTAAAATAAGCCATGACACCAGTAATGAGAGGGAATATGAAGTCATTGGCGAGGATCACCCTCTCTCTACCACCTGATCCACCTGATAAATCTCTTATGTATTGGAGCGGGTCTCCTGCCAGTGCGAACACAAGGATAGTTGGACTGTGCACAGCTAACAAATCTCCCTACAGTCTGGCAATCACCAGAGAGATCAAATATCTTTGGTAACTTCATACTTGGGTGGAGGGATGGTGGGTGGGGGCACTCTGTGTTCCTGTATATGTGACTTTCACTTCAAAATATAAATATAATACAAATACCCCAACTAGTCTGTGCGGTTTTTATACTCCACATGAATCCTCACCTCATCTATTCCTCTCTCCTTCGGGTAGGCATCTGGAATTTCCTCTTAAATACATTGATGTAAGACTTGCCTCTTTCACTGCACTTTCGGTCATCTTTTCACCCCCCACTACCCCACAAGCTCCTTAACCCTCCCCCTCCCTTCCAACTCAGGTGTCCAGCCAGTAACGTGAAGCACCTTGAGATGTCCTTGTGTTATTAAAGTCGCTAAATAAATGTAAAAGATATTATTGGATAGTGCTGATGCTCTTTTTCTTTGTATCAACCACGGGCTCCCGCACCGAGCTCCACAAACCCTCATGTTTGTCTGTAACCTTCACGCTCGAATGCTCAGGGCTTTGGCTTGCAGGGTTCACAGGAGCTGAGTGGCAAGAATCCCTGTCGTCCTGAGCGATTTCCTCACTCCTTTTCCATCTCTTTTATTTAGGAGTCCTGCAGCTGAGTGGTTAGAGCACTCGCCTTGCAAGCGAGAGACCTGGGTTCGATTCCCAGCAGGGCGAAACCTTGGGCAAGTTTCCTTACTCCCACACAGCCTAATAATAATCACTCAAGAAAAAAATAATAATTTGGTCACTCAATCATCAGCTGTTTGTGAGACATTGCTGTGCACAGTTGGCTGCCGCATTTCACCCACAAACATACAGTCAATTCACTTTCCATTATATTCTGTGAAGCGCTTTGAGACGTCTAAGCAGACGTGAGAAGCGCTACATCAAATGCAAGGATTATTATTATTATTTCTTTTGGTTTAAATTTCAAAGGTCATATTCTTCACTTGCTCTTCTGGCTTTTAATTTCTCATCTCTCCTCCCTTTCTTCCGTCTGCCCACCCCCCCCCCATGCCCCCCCTTCCCCTTCCCTCCACCACTACCAACACCTCTCACCACATCAATGTATTTAAGAGGAAACTTAAGATGTATACACAAGGGAGACGGGGATTAGGTGAGGTGCGAACGTGTATAGACTATAATAAACCTTGTTATTGGGCAAAACGAAGTGGTTTGATGTGCGAGTGTGTATTTTGAACAACAACAACAACAAATTACATTCGTATAGCGCCTTTCACGTCAGGAATGGCTTAACTTAAACCTCTCGATCGATGAGCTGAGGAGGGAGGTTAACGGTCGCTGTGACAGTTCTCAGAAAGAGTTATTATTATTCCAGGAGGACCCGCGGCTGAAATACCCGGTGCATTTAAGAACGAAAGCAGCTCTGGATCCGAACGATCTCGGCCCCCTCCTCGTGAGTATCGCTCTTTTGCTTTGTTTCATCTTCAATAATACACAATCCAAAATTACATTTGTAAAGCAGCTGACACGTCAGGAGGACGTCCCAAGGCGCTGGACAGTCAGGGATTTGGACCTGAGCTTAACAGCCTGCGGATTGCTTAATCGTGGATATTTCGATGACTAGTTTCCCAACCGGAGTCTGACCTCAACCCAAACCTTGGGGGAGGAGGGGAGGGAGTGGTGGTGAAAACAGTCTCAATCAGACCACACATCAAAGCTTTTTTTTGTATATACCTAAACCAAATACACTCCAATAATTAAAAAGAACTACATACTCTTAAGCATGGTGATGGGTCTCTGCATCACCCAGGTGACCAAAAAAAAAGTGGCTTTTTTTAAACAAACATATTCTCTCTCAACACACATCATCCCTCCTCACTATCTGTCTTTCAGCTTCAAAAAAATGCCAACCCTCCCCTCCCTCTCTTGGTTCAAGTTTGGCCACTCTTGTTATCGGGCAAAAGCACTGTTTCAGTGTACGAGTGTGTAGTAAGTTCTAGAGGTGACGAGGTGAGAAGGGAAGTGAAATGCCCAGGTCTGTCGGGAAGAACAGTCTCTGCTATTGAGTGATTTGGTGGATCTTACAAGTATTATTTTGCCTCTTTTTCCTCATATCAGCCTGGCTGGGAGGAGAGGGTTCATTTAGATGGAAGGTCGTTCTTCATAGACCACAGTGAGTAAACCACGCTTGTTCCGAAAAGTTGCATACTGTTAATATAAAAAGAAAGAATTAATGGTAAAGTTATACAAATTTGCATGAGCAGTTATATAAATTTGAATGATATTTTTTGTAGTGATTGTTCTCTCTTTGTACTTACCGTCATATTGTATTGTCCACACGTAGATACCAAAATCACTCAATGGGAGGACCCAAGACTACAAAACCCAGCTATCACTGGGCCGGTGAGTCACCAATAGCTTTGTTAACTGAACTAAAGCTGCCTGAAGCTTTACTCTGTTATAAGTCTGAAACACCTCACTCAAAGTTACTTTGTGTTAGTAATGCAGCAAGGATAACAATAGTAATTATTTTGTTTTGCCCCAAAAAGTACACAGTCACTACACTTTACAGTATAAACTGTGAACAACAACTTGCATTTACATAACTCCCCTCAATCAGGGTAATGTCCCAGAGCGTTTTGAGACGTCTCAACGACATGATAAGACGCTATATCAAATGCGAGGGTTATTATAATACAGTGGAATGCAGTTATAACCCCGTTGGCACTTTACAGACCCCAACGGGGTTTCTGCTGCAATAATCCTTGCATTTGCTGTTGAGCCTGTCACGTCTCAAAGCGGTCGGTACTTGTCACCAAGCAGTTGTGTATTTGAAGACAAACAAGGGTTTTGTAATGAGCAGCGGGCTTCTAGATTTGCGGAGTTCAAGCGGTGACCGCACACAACAAAAGTTGGGACTTCCGTTGACCTCCACTTGAGGTTTTAGGTCAAGGAGAGATCTTTTTGAATGTGATTACACTGTCCTCTAGTGGGTGTTGATAGTAAACGCTACAATAAATGTGCAGTAAATAAATACCTTGACTTTGCTCCATTTGATTTGTTTCACTGCAATTCATTTTTTTTAAAAAATCAGCTTGAACAACAACTTGCATTTATATAGCGCCCCTTACACAGGTGGTGTCCCAGAGTGCTCAATGCTTTCCTCTTTGATTATGCCTTCCATTATGTTCCTCCCATCGCCTCCAGCCCCCATCCGGCTCACGCCTCACTATATCTCTGTAAAGTGCTTTGAGAGGTCTTAACTACGTGAAAGGTGCTGCATAAATGCAAATTCGGCATTTAATCTGCAATATTTGCCTGAAACTTGCAAGTTGGATTGTGCTTTCAGCTATCTCTGACCACGCTTTCAGACATCTTTATTCCCCCTCACCCCCACCCCTAGCTCGGTTGCAAATCCTGGACTGAGACATTACCCTGCGTGGAGGGCTCTAATAAGTGCAAGTTGTCGTTGTTGTCGACTGTCCAGTGCCTTGGAAGTCCTCCTGATATGAAACCAGCTACATAAATGTAAACTTAATTTGTATTCTGTGCAGTCACTGCACTTTGCAGTATGATGTATCATGTGATGGCCTTTGAGATACTCTCCCGAAGTGAAAGGCTCTATAATACCTGCAAGGATTGTTTATTTATTATTATAATTTAAGAAGTTTTTGCACCATCTTAGTGTACTGATCCACAAGGATACTATCTGTATGAGACATGAAACTCTTCCATCATGTCTCTGATCTGCCAGTACTTCAGAAGGATGTGAAAGATTGCATGACTCATTTGGAAAGACGAAGGGAGTTTCTCCTGATGTCCTGAACCAAAAAGAAATAAAAATTGTCCTAAAACTGAATCTGTTGCCTCAACACTGCTGGTTAGCACCTGTGAAGCAATTTGAGAAATTTCAATGAGATCAGTTGTGTCAAAGGTTTTTACTTTCTCAAAACATTGCGATTGATGTTGAATTAATAAATCAATCTCTGTTCCCTTTCAGGCTGTGCCGTATTCCAGAGAATTTAAGCAAAAGTATGACTACTTTCGGAAGAAACTGAAGAAACCTGTAAGTACTTTACACCTTTGCTGAGAGCTCTTAGAGAACAAGTGAAATCGCATAAAACTGAAGAACTTCAATCCACGACTGTTTATGAGATACTGCTGTGCGCAATAGGCTGCCGCGTTTCACCCACAAAATATACAGTCGATTCGCTTCATAATATATTCTGTGAAGTGCTTTGAGATGTCTCACAAATGCCCTGCTTGTCGACCTTCCCAACTCCTCCCTCCACAGGCTGCAGATAATCCAGAACTCTGCAGCCCGTGTCCTCTCCCGCACCAAACTCCGTGACCCCATCTCCCCATTCTCGCCCGACTCTACTGGCTCCCTATCCTTCAGAGGATCCAGTTCAAGATCCTGGTCCTCACCTACAAAGCCCTCCAGGGCCTCGCCCCATCCTATCTCTGTGACCTCCTAACCCCCTACCAACCCGCCCTCTCTCTCCGCTCAGCTGGCTCCGGCTTGCTCCACATCACTCGAGCCACCCGCCCAACCATTGGTGGGAGAGCCTTCAGCCATTCTGTCCCCAACCTCTGAAATTCCATCCCGCCTTGCCCCCTCTTTAGTCTCCTTCAAGTCCCGTCTCAAAACCCTCCTTTTCGACCTTTCCCTCTCCCCCCGACCCCAGTTCGGGTCTGAAATGCTGTACACTGTCCAGCGCCTTGGGACGTCCTCCCGACTTGGAACGTGCTATACAAATGTAATCTTGTTGTTGTTGTTGTTTTCTCGACGGAATGATAGGGAGCTATATCTCATGTAAGTATTATTATAGTATCAAATGCAGGGACTCCATTATATTGACTGCATCACCCTGATTTTGCTTGTCTTTCAGGCTGACATACCCAACAGATTTGAAATGAAGTTACACCGAGGCAACATCCTAGAGGAGTCGTACAGGCGGATCATGTCCTTAAAGCGGCCCGACGTGCTCAAGGCCAGACTTTGGATAGAGTTTGAGTCAGAGAAGGGGCTCGATTACGGAGGCGTCGCAAGAGAATGGTTCTTCCTTCTATCCAAAGAAATGTTCAATCCTTACTATGGGCTCTTTGAATATTCAGCCACGTAAGTGCTCGCACGTGCAATGCATTTCAACTGCGATGAAGGTTATAGCAGTGATGGGAAGAGTACAACATAGGTTTACTAGGATGATACCAGGGCTGGCAGGTTACTCCTATCAGGGTAGACTGGTTAGGCCTTTTTTTTCACTGGAGAAAAGACAATCAAGAGAGGACCTTATAGAGGTTCTACAAGGTTAACATAAACAGCTGTTTCCATGATTGGGGTCCGTAAGTCGGGGACACAAGTATAAGATATTGACTGGGGGGGATTCTAAATTCTAAAAGAGAGTTTAAGAAAGGAAATACTTCACACAGAGGGGAGTGAGATTCTGCAACTTGTTGCCTGAAGCGGTAGTTAAATCAGATAGTGAAGAACATTATAGAGGAAGCTAGACCTTCACATGAGGGAGGGAGAGGGGATTAGGAGGGGTTGGGAGGGAGTAAGGAATGGATGAAGATTTGCAAAGAGTATAAACACCGGCACGGATTGCTTGGGCGAATGGCTTGCTTTCGTGCTGTAAATTCCATGTAAAAAAATTTTGCAAGTCCCGTAATGTTGATGCACCAGACTAAGGCAATCACAAAACGGTTTTGTTGGACGTCTCGAGACATAATAAGGAGCTGTATCAAATGCAAGGAACTCCCCTTCCTCTACTTCTCGTTGGAAGCATTTTAAACAGCAGATTTCTTTTTTATTTCCTCCCACTTCCACCCACATCCCCAAACAGAGATAACTACACACTTCAGATCAACCCAAACTCTGGTCTTTGTAACGAAGATCATCTGTCTTACTTCAAGTTCATCGGGCGAGTGGCTGGGATGGCAGTACATCACGGGAAGCTACTTGATGGTAAGCTAAAGGCTCTCCTGCTGTGGTTTTCCAGAGACATGGATCTCAACAACCCCCGGAGTTGTGCAGTTTGGTCTAGTTTTCGAATAGAAATGTAGCCTTGATCCACCACCCAAGGGATGCTCCTCAAAACCAGGCCAAAACTGTGGCTGGCTCAGTTGGTAGTGCTCTTGCCTTTGAGGCAGAAGGTTGTTGGTTCAAGCCAAGGCTTTGAGCTCACATAGTCTAGGCTCATGCTCCAGGGTCGTGCTCGAGGAGTGCTACATAGGAACAGGAGTAGACCATTCAGCCCCTCCAGCATGTTCTACCATATTATTAGATTATGGCTGATCTGTACCTCAACTCCATTGACCGACCTTTTCTCCATAAGCCTTTGTTACTCTGGACCTAACAAATGTCTTATCAACCTCAGTCTTGCCAATTCCAATTGACCCAGCATCCACAGCTTTTAGGGGGAGAGAATTCCAGATGTCCACAACCCTTTGTGTGTTTGAATCTGCAATTCCTCCTAATTTCAATTTTAAGATTAAGCTCCCCCCCACCCCACCATCTTGTCTAGAAGTGCCGGATGTGTCATTGTCACGAGAGGTTTAAACCGAGGCCTTGGCTGCCTGTTCAGGTGGACGTTAAATATCCCGCAGCACTATTTGAAAAGTAAAGGGAGTTTCTTTATCCCGTTGTCCTGGCCAACAATCCCCCAGATAAAATTTGTTATTCAATTCATGCCTGTTTGTGGGACATTGCTGTGCGCAAATTGCCTGCCACGACCACCTTCAAAATACACAGTCACAACACGTTACAGTAAAATCCTGTGAAGCACTTTGAAACAGCACAGCCTCTTGACGTGGAAGGTACCATATCAAATGCAAGAATTATTATTGTTAATTATTACCCAGAGGGTAATAGGGTTACATAGCAGCGTGCTTAAGACCAGGACACATGTTATGATGGGAGAATGGAAGGGTAGAAGAGCTTTTTTCATCTGAACCGCTCTTATAACCTCTCTAATAATCTTGTGCTGGTGATGTGAAAGGTGCTACATCAAGTGCCAGCATTATTGTTTTTCAGATGAAGCTTACAGTTCAGTGTTTCTCTCGGATGCTTTTATTTCAGGTTTCTTCATCAGACCATTTTACAAGATGATGCTTGGCAAAGCCATCACTCTGAAAGACATGGAGTCAGTGGTAAGTTTATGATGAGTGATTTTGGGACAGCTTCTTGTATTTAGAGACACCACCAAGAGGCACCAACCTAGAGTGATATACCATGGAGACAGGTCATTCATCCCAACAAGTCCCTGCTGATGTTTATACTCCATACGGGTCCCTCACGTCTGTGGGTTACCCTCCCCTCTCCTTTGCTGGGCTCCAATCCTGTTACTGTGGTGCACTCTTGAGAAATAATCCTACTTTAAGGTGCCTTAAATTGTTCTTGTTCTAAGCGTGTCTGAAGGCAGGCTTGAACCTTCAGCATGTCCCTCAACTCCAGTGCTCCACCACCAGCGGCCATGCTTTCAACCACTACGTCTGGGACACTGCCTCTTTGCCCATCTTCAGATCACACCTAAAGACCTTCGACCTTCGACCGCACCTATGCTCTCCACTTTCTCCCTGACTCGGCGTCAAAGTCCGCCACTGTTGAGTACTCCAAGACGCTCCCCATGAATGCAAGTAGCTGAGAATGGAGTGAGATTGGAACAGTAGTAGCTTATCCCTCGTCCTCTCCTTTCCACCGTTGGCGGCCGTGCTTTCAGCCACTATTCCCCGAAACTCTGGAACTCTCTTCCTCAATCGCTCGGCCTTGGCCCCTCCTTCCTCATTTTCAGGTCACGCCTCAAGACCTTCCTCTTCGACCGTGCCTACGGTCCAGGTCTCTACCTGGCTCAGCGTCAGGCTCTGCCACTGTTAAGTGCTTCAAGATGCACGTAGGCCGGTTATAAATGCAAGTTGTTTTAACAGAACATGTCAGCTGATTAACAGGTTTTCACTGAGTGCACTTCTCTTAATGAATAATTAATTCATAATTATTGATAATTAAGTATTTTTGTCCACAAAATACACAGTCAACCTACTTTACAATTTATCCTGGGAAACACTTTGAGGCGTTTCAACGACGTGATAAGGCCCTATATCAAATGCAAGGATTATTATTATTTTTATTATTATTATTATTAATTCCAACTCTTGTTGCTCTATTTCAGGACGGTGAATATTTCAATTCTTTGAGATGGATTCTCGAGAATGACCCAACTGAGCTGGATCTCAGATTTTGTATAGACGAGGATAATTTTGGACAGGTAACGTTGACTTTTCCCTCTTGCCTCTCGTTGGCTGAAGGCCACTGACTCGAGGTGTGCAGCTTTAAATCTCGTGTCTTCTGTGTTAGACTTACCAGGTGGACTTGAAACCCAATGGTTCAGAAATGGTGGTCACCAATGAAAACAAGAAGGAGTACATAGAGTAAGTATTCAATTGCGCTCTTTGCACTCGCTACCATGCATGAGGGGTGCTATATAAATACAAGTTATTGTTGTTTTCCTTAGCTTTACTGTCACCAACTCTGTTCCTCCCTCGGAAAACTGGCCCATCTGAGTGGCTTTTTGTGCTCATTTGTTTTTTAGAGCCTTCAGTAATGGGACAGTTGCACTGAGCTCATAAAGTTTTGTGGCTTGTAACGATTTGGTGAATCTGTAGCCACTTTCCCCTCACATTCCAATATTGTGTTGTGCCCCAAATTGTACTTGTAGCGTAGTGGTTAGAGCACTCGCCTCGCAGGCGAGAGAACCCGGGCTCGATTCCCGGGCAGGCAAAACCTTAGGCACGCACCTCTGTTTACAAAACAATAAATAGGAACCGGTTGTTAGTCGATTGGCGGATCACTTTTCCGGGGGTAATAACACCTTCAAAAATAAATAAATAAGTAGTAATAATTTGGCCACTCAAGCCACGACTGTCTGTGGGACGCTGCTGTCACAATAGGCTGCGCGTTTCGCCCACAAAATATACAGTCAATTCACTTTTACAGTATATTCTGTGAAGTGCTTTGAGACGTCATTGGGACTGCCCAATTCTTGAGCAACGCAGTTGTGAGGGAGTTGTGGATCCCTGTGGAAATAGCGATTCCGGTTTCCTATTGCACCGGTGTGGAAGTAAAACCTATCCGCTGACTGGCTCCAAAGGTGTTGTTAAAATCTTTCTGATTTCTTTGCCTCTATTTATCAAAAGGCTAAGCAACCGTTTTCTGTTAGCTGTTAGTTGATGCTAATCACTTATTCAGAAAGTGTAGAATGATTTTACGTTGTGCAGTGACTTATTTCTGTTTCTTTATCTCTCCCCCCCCCCCCCCGCAGCTTAGTCATACAGTGGAGATTTGTAAACCGGGTACAAAAACAGATGAATGCCTTTATGGAGGTACCGTAACCCTTTGCTCTTTCAGGAGCACTCAGTATCTGTGAGAGACTTGTTATTTGTTGTTCAAGCCCCACATCAGGACTTTGAGCTCCAGTGCCGCTTGGAGAGCTCTGCAGAGTCTGAATTGCCGTCCTTCGGATGAAACTTTCCACCGGGGTCCCATTTGTCAGCATAGACTATATCAGCAGAATCCCGACCTGGGGCTTGAACCCACAGCCTTCTGACTCAGAGGCTAGAGTGCCCATGTAGCCAGGTGCTAAGCTGAGCCAGGCATTGCTTTCACAGAAAGAAACACACTGCCTCAGTTGGCATTGGGCACATCTCGAACATTAGCATTGCCAAGGTCGACAGCCTGGCCACTCAGCTGGTTTGTGGCAAGTCGTGGAATCAAGACTGACTATAGGTGAAAATAATTTGTGAAAATGTCCACCTTAACAGCGGAGGTCAATGTGATTCCTCAGCAACAGATGGAGGTAGTTGGTGGGGCACGCATGCCTGTATTGAAGCTCTGAAATATAAATTGTTGCTGTGTTATTTTGGTTCTTTCAACGCACTTACATTGCAAAAAATAATTTCCTTTACTGATCTCCTCTTGCAGGGTTTCACAGAGCTCATTCCTATTGACCTAATTAAAATATTTGATGAAAACGAGCTGGAGGTTAGTGATTATCNTTTTTTCTTCTTCTCTCTCTTACCCTCCCAGCTACATAAATAACGGTTAGCATGTCCTTAAGAAGAATTTTGAATGTGTTTCATATCCAGCGTCATGGCATGAATGCTGAACAGCTGAGTTCAGACAAGTTCCTAAAATTAAAGAGAATCTGGGACATTAGTGCTGAGAGAGAGATGCCCAAGGGATCTATTGGGGTAGTGGACGGGCAGTCCAGTTAAACCAACTGCCTACTCTTGTCTGTAAACCTTAATGCTGTTGGACCCCGTGCTGTGACAGGAAACTACAATCAGTGGCTACCTCTCTTGCAAGCGTTTCCGCAGTGCTGGGTTGAGCGATTGAGGTACGATTGAGATAGACACCCCAAAAGTAATGCCTCACTTCTATCCTCAAATCCTAACATAGACACAACAGAAGCTCTTTTTAAATACACCAGTGCAGGTATTTGTTTCCACAAAGTCACCAACAAGATATTCACAGTTGAGTTACCATGCTTATCAGTGCCAGTAGCAGTGTCGGGATGTATAAAGGTATCTTGTGTATGTTTTTCATTACTGTACCACTTACCATTCTTCACAAAATAAATACGAGGCATTACCTTTGGGATGTCCCTCATTGCAATTAACTTTGCTCGTGACTCTGTTCCATGGATCTTTCCTTTCCTCCGGCATGTTGAATGCCGCTGTTTAGTACAATGAATACTGATCTCGTGTTCATTCGTGTGTGGAGTGTGATGGTCTCCTCTTCACACGTGATGTTCTACCTGTTGTGTGAATAATGTTTTGCTACTAAGGCGAGGTTGGTTGAAGCAGCGAGATTACGAAACGCTTCATCACATACAATCTTTGACGTGAGCAAAGGTACAATTTATAATCCTCACCTTTACATCGTTCCTTCTCCCTACTTAAAGGATCAATAAAAATATTGATGCTGACAAACTTGAGTTTGGAAAACTGACTATTTGTATTTAACCAATGCCTCTTTTTCTGTTGAGTAAAATGCACTTGAGTCCCGTAAACTGTTGTATACTTAACTTATGTCGTTAGTTAATTCTGAGCACATTTGTTTCTTTCCCTTTTAGTTGCTGATGTGCGGCCTCGGCGATGTAGACGTCAATGACTGGAGGCAACACACAGTCTACAAGAACGGCTACTGCGCAAATCACCCAGTCATTCAGTGGTACTGGAAGGTAAGGTCCAGCCTAGCTGTGTGTTAACCCAGGTCACGTCTGTGCCCAGTTTGTGCTGCCAGTGGCAGTGCCTGTAACATTGCCCGTATTGGCAGCCAAAATGCACGCAGCAATCTTCCCCAAACAGCCGTGGAACAAATCACCAGTTTTATCAAGGGGAATCTTGAGGGCTAAGACACTGGTTATGTGTGAAACTTTGCTGCCTAGAGTTGCCACACTAGATCAGTATGTTAGGGGCTGTTGCAACTTAGCTTTCCTCAATGCTCACATGAACAGGATGATTGACTGTGTTGGATCTTCTCCCCTATTCTCTAGAAAAGACCAGGGAGCTCATCTTAAGGACGAAGTGCAACCTGACATCATCTAATAGTAAATCAAATAAGCCTTTAGCACCATTATAATAATTAATACATTTTTACTAAACACCATTGACGCTAGGTAGCGTCTCAGAGCGCTGTACAATGGTGAAGTTGGACACTGAGAGGAGGAGACGGAAGTGACCATATAAGCAGTCAATGTGGCCACTTTTACCCCAAAGTGCTTCCTAGGACATCTGTAAAGTGTGGTGATTGTGTGAGTGTTGAATGAAAATGTCGGATGCTGGATTGATTTGTATCTTCTAGACTGGGGTGGAGAGCTTTTTTTTAGGTTAGGGTATTAAGAGATGCGGGTAATTGGACTTGAGGTTCAGATCAGCTACAATCTTATAGAATGGCAGAACAGCCTCGAGGGGCTGAATGGCCTACTCCTGTTTCTATGTGAATCATTGCGAAGTTAAGTGCACGAGCAGTTTTGGGTCTCGGCAGCTGATGTATGTGTCACATTGCAAACCTGACATTCTCGGGTCAGGTTAGGATGCCCTGATTCCTCTGCTCCTGGCTCTGCATCGAGTTAGGTTAGCTTGACCTGTGTCAAGCACAGTTCTTCATCCAGCAGCAGCAGGAACCATGTAAACCGCCTAACAGTATGTCACCGTTCAAGGCAAAAGATAACTCTGGACAAGCACCTGTAAACAGCGATGTAGCTCACAGATCTGCAAGTTTCCCTTTTTTTGTTTAACGCAGAGCACCGTGTGAGTGCACGTGCAGCTGCCTGGCTCAGTCATTTGCGCTCTCACCTCTGGGTTAGAAAGCTGTCTCCTCGAGCCCCACATCGGGACTTTGAGCTCAGAGTCTAGGCAGACACTCTTGTACAACAACAGCAAAATGACATTTATGGAGCGCCATTCACATCAAAAGGACGTCCCAAGGCATTGTACGTGCTTCGAAAGCGCTGCATTTTTCTTTTTATCAGATGGTGTGTTAAATTGGCTGCTGCATTTTGCCCACAAAATACAGTCAATCCACTTTGCAGTATAGTCTGTGAAGCGCTTTGAGACGTCTCAACGATGTGATAAGACGCTATATCAAATGCATGGATTACTACTATTACTATTATTAAACTGAGGTCCAGTCTGCCTGTTCAGATGGCTGTTATATACCAACGCCACCATTCGACAATAGAGGAGAGTTTTTTTCCCGGCAGTCCTGGCAGCTAATCCTGCAGATTAAAAAAATGGTTGTTCCCTTCATGGCTTTTTGTGGGACGTTGCTGGGAGCAAATTGGATACGGCGTTTCCCCCCTAACACACAATTACTTAACTGTGAAACTGAACTTTAAGAGGCTATGATGCTGTAGGTGTGATATCAAATGCAAGAATTCTTTTTATAAAACACGATCATGGTAGAGATTTAATTTTCAGTAATTATTTTAAGAACCAGATGATTTTTTTCGTGTTAATGGCTGAAGGAAAACTGACTCGACCTCTTCCAGGCCTGGGTGTCCTCCCGACATGAAAAGCACTTACAAATGTAATTTTGTTGTTGCTGTTGTTTGAAGTCATTCCACTTAAAGCCAATTTGGTTTGACTTTTTGAGGTTATTTCTTCTGCAAAAAAAAGTTTGATGCATTGCAAAATCTGCAATTTGGAGATGATCTTATCAGAGATAGTCTTTATCTGAAAGACTGCAGTATTTGGCCATGCTTTAGGGTTCATTGTGCTTTGTTGTGCAAACGTACATGAAACAGTTGCCAATGTCGTGGTCTATCTGAAACTGATACTCCCCCCCCCCCCCCCCCCCCCCACACACACACAAAAAAGAAAAATGATTTCAGAAATATTGAGTTTGGATAAAACCAGTCTTTACTCTGTGGCTGTCTGTTAGACTGCTGTGTGCAAGCTGGTGCCTGCGTTCATCTAGAAAAGTACACGGTCAACTAGACTCTACCAGTAAAATCCTGTGAAGCACTTTTTGAGAAGTCTCCGTGATATAAGGTGCTCTGTCAAATGCAACATTTATTATTACAATTGAAACTGGTGGGGATAATAATAAATACTTGCATTTGAGATAGCACCTTATCACCTCGACAAGACCTGCGCAGATATGCTGGCATAGACATATAATTTGTACAATGTTTGGGGGTTGAGGAAGGGAAACTCAACATTAAAATTAGCTCAATGGATCAGAAGTCTTACTTATAGGTAAGTATCTCATCTGTCCACCATTAAAGACCCTATTTGTTGACCCTGTCTATAGATTTTTTATAGCACTTTTCACGTAGGCAGGACGTTTCAAAGCACTTTAGACGGCCGGCTTGGATCCTGATCTGGGTTGAAAGGGAAAGGTGACTGAAAGTGCGATCAAAGCGAGAGCCTGATTGAAGGTGGACTTTGACCTTTGAAACGTGAAAGTATCATTCTTGACTGATAAGGATTTGATCAGCACATAGTATTGCAATCGTTGTGTGCTTTGCCAGACCAGCCACATCTAGTTAAATCTCTTGCTCTGAAGCAGTCACAAGTGGGCTTGGCTGAACTCCCATCCAACAAAACCTTACTCAGTCCAATCCAGCTGCAATATTCAATCAATATTTCCGAAATGATGGCAGAAGGTTTCATTTAAATGAATCCGTTCTTCGGATGAGACGCTCGAACGAGGTCCCATCTGCCTGTTCAGGTGGATGTTAAAGATATCATGACACTGTTCGAAACGAGAAAGGAGTTTCTTTCTCTCCCAATGTCCTGGTCAACAAATCCCCCAAATAAAATCGGTCACTCACTCCATGGCTGTTTGTGGGACATTCCTGTGTGCAACTGGCTGCCGTGGTTTGCCGACAAAAAACACAGTCATTACACTTTAAAGTATAAGATGTCTAAGCAACATGATGATGCACTATATCAAATGCAAGGATTATTATTATTAAATGAATAATTAACCTTTGCAACTAATGATCAGAGTAAAACTTTTAAGTAAGAATTTACAGTATTTCTTCAATTCCAAACATCTTCACTCAGAGGAAGAAACAGGTTCTAAGACTGTTTTTGACTGATAGAATGGCGGAACCTGCTTGAGGGGCTGAATGGCCTACTCCTGTTCCTTTGTTCCTATGTTGATATGGTCTTGTTGCAGGACTGTGATCATGGAAATACTTAATTTAAAGAATCACACATTTCATTTCAAATGTCTTGAAAAGAGAATTTAGGAGGAACGACTTCAGACAGAGCATCGTGAGATTATGGAACTCACTGCCTGAGATGGTGGTTGAAGGTAGTGTAGAAGCATTCAAGAGGAAGCTAGACTTCCACAGAGGGAGAGGGGAACAGGAGGGTTTGGCAGGGTGGAAGGAATGGATGAAGATTTGTGTGGAGTATAAACACCAGTACGAACTGTTTCCGTGCTGTACATTCTTTATAAACTTTGTAAACTATATTTATGGGGGGGAAGTGGGAACTACTTGGAGCTGAGTTTGCTCCAAAGCAATGAGCTGGCAATGTGGAGTCCTGTAGCTCAGTGGTTAGAGCACTCGCTTTGCAAGCAAGAGACCTGAGTTCAATTCCAGGCAGGACGAAACCTTGGGCAAGTTTCCTTACTCCACACAGAGCCTAATAATAATCCCTCCAAAACAAAACAATAATAAATTGGTCATTTTCAATCTACGACTGTTTGTGGGACATTGCTGTGCGCAATTGGCTGCCGCGTTCGCCCACAAATATACAGTCAATTCACTTTACAGTGTGTTCTGTGAAGCGCTTTGGGACGTCCTCCCGACGTGAAAAGCGCTATATCAAATGCAAGGATTATTATTATTATTATAATGGGAGAATGTCTAAATCATGACAATTTGAGTCAGTTTGGATGGACAGATCAACCATTTGAAGCAAGGGCTTCTTCTATGTGTATACAATAATACAAGGAGTACTGCAGCTTCTAATTCACTGCATTTAGTGTGCTGTTGTCACAGTGGGGAAAATGTTGCTTGAAATTAGTTTGGAAGAAAACACTGACCGGCTGGCTTTTCCGTGTGCAAATTGACTGCCAAATCCACCTACAAAAAATACAGTCACTACACTCACAACAATTATCTGTGAAGTGATTTGAGGCGTATAGATACTATATAAAATAATAATAGTAATATAATAATTATTACAACAGCCAATTGCGCACAGCAGTGTCCCACAAAGTCATGGATTGAGTGACCACATTTTTTCCTACTTACTGCTGGGTAAACAGAAGCACGTTGAGTAAGGAAACTTGCCTAAGGTTTTGACCTGTCCGGAAATCGAACCCGGGATCTCGTTATTATTATTATTATTGAGATTTGTGGTCTTTTAGATATTTGCTCACGGACTGGGCTGCACCACACCTTTCTGTCAGAAGTGAGTGACCCTCAGTAAATTTGAACTTCGAGATCTCGTCATATTTGTCTTGACCGTACCCTTTCATAACAGAGAGTCGTGGGCACTTTGTGCAATGCAGTGTACAACTGGAACATCCCACAACATATTAAGTGGATCAAAGATCAAACAATGAACTGTTTTCCCTTGTGTTTTAACAACAGGCTGGTCAAGTGATTGATGATCAATTTTTCTTTCTTTCAACCCTGACCCTTTTTGAGTCTTACGTGAAATTTATCGATGCTATACTTTTGTTTCCAAAGAGACTCTTTCGATAATAATAAATAATGATCCTCGCATTCAATACTTCCCCTTTCACATGAGGGGTAAAAGTCTCAAAGCGCTTCACAGAATTTACTGTGCAGTGCATTGACTGTTTTGTGAGCAAACTGTTAAGTTGAAACTACTTCCACCCCACGCCTTCCTCACGTTTTCTCTTTCTCACCCCCATTGGGATATATGGAGTTCTGTAGCTTGGTGGTTAGAGCGCTCGCCTCGCAATCTAGAGGACCTGGGTTTGATTCCCAGGAAGGGCGAAACGTTGGGCAAGTTTCCTTACTCCTTAAGCCTCAGTTTACCTAGCATTAAGTAGGAACCCAGTTGTTAGTCAATTTAGGAAACTGTTTCTTCTCCTTTTTAAAAAAATTAATAATTTGGTAACTCAATCACGACTGTTTGTTGGCTGCCGCGTTTTGCAAACAAAATATGCAGTCAATTCACTGTACAGTATATTCTGTGGAGCACTTTGGGATATTTTGAAGACGTGATAAGGTGCTACATCAAATGCAAGGATTATCATGATTAGGATTATTATTTAGCAAACTTGATCACAGCGCAGTATATGTTGTGAAGAGCTTTGAGATGTCCTCCTGACGTGAAAAGCGCTGCACCGAATGTGAGGATTATTATTTTTATTACTTCATATCAATTGGCCTTTGTGTTATCTCACAGGCGGTATTATTGATGGACGCTGAGAAACGTATCCGATTACTACAGTTTGTCACTGGAACATCAAGAGTGCCTATGAATGGATTTGCCGAGCTCTATGGTATGTACTTACTTTGCTTTCGATCGCCAACGACAACAAATTATATTTGGATACCGCCTTTCATGTCCGGAGGACATCCCAAGGCGCTGGACAGTCAAGGATTTGGATGGAAGCTGGGGGTTGGGATCAGAAGGGGTGGAGGGCAGGGAGGTAGCGATAGGAGAGTGACCGAAGGCACGGTCGAACAGTAGGGTCTTGAGACATGTCTTGAAGGAGGCAAAGGAGCTGGTGAGGTGAAGTGACAGTGGGATGGTGTTCCAAAGGGTGGGGGCAGAAAGACTGAAGGCCCGACCATCGAGGTGGGGTGGACAGGGGACGTGGAGCAGGGCAGAGCCTCCTGAGCGGAGGTAGCGAACATGTTGGCATGCCATTTTGTTGGATATCTTTTTATAGCTGTTTCGGGAGAATTTGCTGTTACATTCACCTGGAAATATACAGTCACTTCACAGTAATAAACCTGTGAATCGCTTTCACACATGTCGACGACGTGATAAGACAACATCAAATGCAGGGACTGTTATTTATAGGGCCTGACACTGCGTGCCGACATACAGAGATTTGTGATTTTGTCACCATCCCTTATTTGGACCAAGTTCTGGATGTGCTTCTCCGATGATAAAAAAAATCCTTACATTCTACGTAGCACTTTTCACATCGACTGTACCCCATTAGACTACAAATACACAGTCGCTACCCTTCGCAGTAAATCCTATGAAGAACTTCGAGACGTTCCGCTTACGTGCAACGTTCTATACCAAATACAAGGATTCTTATTATGTGTATTTACACATTTGAGAACTTTTCTAGAAACGCAGATTGTACTTTTGAACATGTTACATGACGCACCTGTGACTAGTGTTTGCCCTGTTTCACATAGACATATTAGAATCATTAAGAACAATCCATTGGACTGAACTCTTAGTGAAAGCAATACAGAAGCACTGCATTGGGTTGGTATGGAGCAATGGAGATGGTGCCTGTGCTTAGTCGAGCTATGAGCATGGTATTTGCTTTCAATCTGCCCTCACGACCCCAAAATGCTTGGACTTTCTGGTTACTCAGCAGTGATTACAGTAAATATCCAGGCAGTTGTTTGGCAAAGACATTATTGAAATTGCAGTGCAATTTTTCTTTGCTTTTTTTAAAAAAAGGGTGACTAGTTATTTTACCGGTTGTGTCGATTAGTGGATCGCTTTCCATGGATAATAACCCCATCAAAAAAAAATAATAATTTGGTCACTCAATCCACTACTATTTGTGGGACACAGCTGTGGCTGTCACGTTTCGCCCACAAAATTACACCCAATTACTTTACAGTATATTCTGTGAAGCGCATTGAGACGTTTCAATGACGTGATAAGGCTGTATATCAAATGCAAGGATTATTATTCTAATTAATGAGCCTCCTAATCCTTTGATTATCGAACATAGTACGGATCGATCCGGTGATCTCACAGCTCTATCCACTACACCATACATATTCTGGTTCCGTTACTTCTTAACCGTAGTGCGTTACGGATGTCTGCATTGCCGAAATCGTCTGACTTGCGATTGGTATTTCCCACAGGCTCGAATGGTCCTCAGCTGTTTACAATAGAGCAGTGGGGAACTCCAGAGAAGCTGCCGAGGGCTCACACATGGTAAGGAAAGCTCGTGTTGTACCTTTAGATTTTCAACACCTCTGTACCAAAGTGCTGGTTGAATATTTAATACAAAATGCTATTTGGGTTTTTGTTTGAATACATTTCAAATATTTTTTCACCTCTGACATGAAAGATGAGTGCTTTTTTTTATTAGTTCGATGATACTAGGTGTAAATTGACCACACTGACACTTTACATAGGTGAATGGTGGATGTTAAAGAACCAATGGGGCTATTGGGAAGGAGAAGGGAGTTTCTCCCGGTGTCCTGGCCAACAGTGCCCCAAATAAAATTGGTCAAAAGGCAAAATACTGCAGATGTTGGAAATTTGTAGACGAAGAAATCGCTGGGAACACATAGCAGGTCAGGCAGCATCCATGGAGAGAGGAAAATTCGTTAACATTTCAGGTCAATGACCAGAAGATGAAATGAATGGCCAAATAAAATTGGTCATTCACTTCCTGAAATTACTGTGTGCAAATTGTTAGCCTACAAAATGCATAGTCACTACACTTTATAATATATCCTGTGGAGCTTCCTCCTGACGTGAAAGGTGCTCTATCAGATGCAGGGATTATCAGCGCCTTGGGACGTCCTTCCGACGTGAAAGGCTCTTTACAAACGTACTTTTGTTGTTGTTGTGATATTATTATTTGAATTAGCAAGCACCATCGGCTCCATGTTTCTGCGGTTGCTTAGCGTATTGAGCGTTTAACAAAGCTATCTTCTGCTCACAGCTTTAACCGACTGGATTTACCGCCTTATGAAACATTTGAAGACTTGAGAGAGAAGCTCCTAATGGCAGTGGAAAACGCTCAAGGATTTGAAGGAGTGGATTAAACAGCAGACGGGTCGAGCGGGGAATGGCCGTGTCTTTGGTTTGTGTTTTAAAGATAGGAACTTTACCGGTGATATCATTGCACACTGACATTGGTACATGGAACAAATTCTTCTCTGCCAATTCTTATTCCAAATTTCTGGAAGACTGGAAGATTGAAGCCTATAGATATTCCTTCTAGACACACGACACATAATGAGGAATGGACTATGTGTGGACTAGAAGTGTATTTCATTAGGACTTAACAAGTGTATTAAAATTGTGTCCTTAAACGGCACAACATAGATATTTTACCAACTTTGTAAGGAAGTGAATGGAACCTCACTTTTACAGGTATAGTATTATCACTTTGTTTACTTAATTGAATGCAAATTATCATATATATAGAGAGAGAGTGAGAGACAGAGAGAGAGTCTTGCGTTATAATACACATTTAAAAGGCACGAATAAAGGTTTGTCTTGTACACCTGCTCGCACACAAACACACCACACACAACTAAACACACTCGTGAACAGCTATAGTATTGCAGTGTATCTGCACTGTGAAATATTTCCGTGCCTCTTACGCTCCGGTATATATGAACAAAAAAAGGCAAAGCCAAATGCGAATTTTTTATTATTATTGGTATAATTTAACACTTTCCTGGAAATTATGAAAACTCTTGAGATGGCTGACATTTTTCTTTCCTCTTAATAGAATTGTTACAAATGAACTTTGAAGTGTCTCAAAACAAAGAACTTGCAGCAAACGTCTCCTGCTTTGTTTTTTAAGATGAGTGCGTCAGTTTCCTTTAGCTCAACGATCGATTGATCCACTTGAATATATTATGAGAAAAAGTCTGTACAGAAAAGTTAGTGTACATAAATAAGTATTTGAGATGTTTTTTTTCTTTAAAAATCAAACTACAGTATAAGCCCTGAATGTGTGTGTTTTCTGTGAGGAGGATGCATTGTCTTGTTAATGAATATCCTTTGATCTTGTGTTAGAGAGAGAAATTAGGAGTCCCATAGCATTGTGGTTAGAGCGCCAGTCTCGCAAGCGAGAGGACCTGAGTTCGATTCCCAGGCGGGGCTAACCCTTGGGCAAGTTTCCTCACTCCACACACATCTGTTCACCTCGCAGTAAGTAGGAACCCGGTTGCTAGTCGAATCGGAGTATCACTTTCCGGGAGTAACGATCCCTAAATAATAAATTTGGTCACTCAATCCGTGACTGTGTGTGGGACATTGCTGTGTGCAATTGGCCACTGCGTATCTCCCACAAGCTACACAGTCAATTCACTTTACGGTATATTGTGTGAAGCGCTTTGAGGCGTCTTTGAGATGCGATAAGACGCTATCTCGAATGCTAGGATTATTATTATTATAAAAGAGCACTGAGGCGGAAGAGTAACAAACGCTTGTAACAAAACTCTAACTCAGTTCCTTTCGAATCTACAATAGCTGATGTTATCAACAGCGCTATGACGGTTAAAGTAACAAAAAAAGTCAAATGCTCAAACACCTCTACATCTAACGGCACTTTATGCATCACGTTAAGGTCATAACCGATCGATTTGTTGTTTTTTTTATTGAATGTGATCTCACTTTATACTTGCTGCTGGTAACTGGATGTGTTTTCCCTCTCTGTAAACCCGGCAATGAATGATGTCAAAAAAAAACTGCAGATCTGAGCCCAACACCCTTTGTCCTGTACTTTATTTGTTTGTTTCTTTCTTTCTTCCTTCCTTCCTTCCTTCCTTGCTTGTGAAGTCCTGTAGTGTAGCAATTGGGGGAACTGGCCTAGCAAGCGAGAGTACCCGGGTTCGATTCCCGGGCAAGCCTGTTTACCTAGTAATATTTGTTGTTAGACGATTGGCAGGTCGTTTTCCCATAAAAAATAAATAAATAAATAAATAAATTGGTCACTCAGTCCAGAACTGTTTGAGGGACACTGCTGTGCGTAATTGGCTGCCGTGTTTCGTCCACAAAATGCAGTCAATTCACAGTACAGTGTATTCTGTGAAGAGATTTGAGACACCTCAGCAATGTGATAAGGCGCTATCACCAATGCATGGATTATTATTTTTCTTCCTTCCTCTTTTGTCACTTTGCTTCAGGTTTGCACTGCGGAATTCAACAGGTGAAATTCCACTGGCCCACATAATCCAACACAAAATCTCTCACCTGAAAGCATTGCAGCTCGCTCTCTCCTTTAATTTCACACAAAAATAGTCTCTCTCTCTACATATGTATATATACTGTACATATATATTCATGTTGCAATTTTTTATTTTACTCAAATCATCCATCAGATCTTAAACAACGTCTAACACGATGCATTCATAAAGTGCAACACATTCTTGGAACTGAATATATTTCACCAAAAAAAACATGATACAAATTTACATTTATATACAGCGCCTTTCACGTTGGGAGGATGTGCCAAGGTGCTGGAAAGTCCTGAAAACCACAAAAACCTGTTGTGAAGATGCAGACAGCTGTTGCTGAAGGAGTTCATGATCAAGAGTAGTGTTAAGAAAATCTATCTTCATATTACTTTCCCCTGATTGTTCTCATTGTGGAGTCCTATAGCGTATTGGTTAGAGCAATTGCCTTGCAAGTGAGAGGACCTGGGTTCGAATCCAGGGCAGGGCAAAATCTTCAGAAAGTTTCCTTACTCCACACACAGTAAGTAGGAACCTGGTTGCTTGTCGATTGGTGGATTGGCCTCTGGGAGTAATAATCCCTCCAAAAAAAATAATCATTCGGTCACTCAATCTAAGGTCTAAATCTAAAATTGCGACAAATTGGGACACTGCTGTGCTCAATTGGCTGCCGTGTTTCACCCACAATATACCCAGTCAATTCACAGTATATTCTGTGAAGTGCTTTGAGGCGTCTCACCGGAGTCATAACGCTCTATTATTTTAACCGATTCGTGGAGTCCTGTAGCTCTGATGAGAGCACTCGCTTTGCAAGCGAGAGACCTGGGTTCGATTCCCGGCAGGTCAGGGCGAAACCTTGGGCAAGTTTCCTTACGCCACACGCCTGACGATAATCCTTCAAAAAAAAACAATAATAAATTGGTCATATGAAGACTGTTTGTGGGACACTGCTGTGCGCAATTGGCTGCTGCGTTTCGCCCACAAATATACAGTCAATTCACTTTACAGTCTATCCTGTGAAGCGCTTTGAGACGTCGGGAAGACGTGAAAAGCGCTATATCAAATGCAAGGATTATTTATATATTATTATTATTAAGAGGGAGCAAATTGTTATTCATTGCACTCGCTTCACCCTCAGGGGCAGGACAGTCTGAACCATGGGCTGACGTATTATAATAAAAATTCCAATACAAATTTACATACGGCGCTTTTCACATCGGGATGCTGTCCCAAAGCACTTCACCATCCTGGCTTGGCACCCCGACTGGAGCTGGTTGCCAAGAAGCGGGAGGGAAAGGGAAAGATTCCCGAGGTCGATCTTGAGTTGGAGAAAGAGGTGAAGTAGTGGGTGAGTCGGAGGGAGTCCGGGATGGATCTACAGGGAGTTACATGACGCAACTATGGAGACTTCAGGACATTGACTTCCAGTCCTGGTGTGGCCTTGAGAGCCTCAAACCCAGTGCTGCATTGACAGGAGAGGCCTTGCCCACCATGATGGAGTTACAAATGTGGCCTCTGATATGTGCATTATTGCTGATGTTAATTACCGAAGTTAAATGCCACCCCGTTGACAATGTCCTCCCCATCCCTCCTGCAAGTCAGTCAGAATTTCGGGTGTGAAGTCCACTTGCAAGAATTATTGGATTTATTTGTGAGTCATGGCAATGGAGCACTGTTTAGTGGGATATGATATGATTTTCACCACTCCAGGTAGCCCAGTGCCATCATCTGTGGCTGCCGGGTCCCATGGGTGCCACTGGCCAGCTTCAGACCTAACCATTGTGGGGGTGTTGGACGGGAGGAGGCATCATGCCCATAGAACAGTCAGTCTCTTCCGTTATTGACTGGAGGAATTGTCTGTCATATGAAGACGCTTGGATTAATTACAAGGGGTTAATTAATTATGTTAATTAACTGAATGTGAAGTCCCATAGCGTAAAGGTTAGCGCACTCACCTCGCAAGCGAGAGGACCCAGGTTCGATTCCTGGGCAGCGCGAAACCTTAGGCAAGTTTCCTAACTCCACACGCGTCAGTTTACCAAGCAGTATGAAGGAACCTGGTTGTTAGTCGATTGGTGGATCACTTTCCGGGGATAATTGCCTCTTCTGTATTCTGTGAAGCGTTTTGAGAAGTCTGAACGAAGTGCCAAATGCAAGGATAGTTATTAGTATTATTAATTAGAACATCACTGCATAATTTTCATCTTAAAGTTGTCATATATATTTAATAATATATATGAATAGCCTGCCAAGTGATCATTTTATTTTAAGCAAAGGGACGGGGTGGGGGCGGAGGGCAACAGGACCGATGTTTGTGGTGATTGTCAGGCACTGTCTGGAGGAATTGGTTTGAATGAGCTCTGTTCAGATGGATCTTTAATCCAAGATCCACAAGGACTCGTAAACTTAGAGATGCAGGCCCTTTGTCTTAGGGGCATGATGACTCCCCAATCCACTAACCGTCTCCTCCGCTCGACTGGCTCTGACCTCCTGCATGTCCTTTGTGCCCTCCGTTCCACCATTGGTGTCCTCACTTTCAGCCACTATGCTTTGAAACTCTGGAATACTCTCCCTCAATCCCTCCGCCTTGTCCCCTCTTACCCATCTTCAAATCGCGTCTCAAGAACTTCCTCTTCGACTGTGCCTTTGGAGCAGGCCAGATCCCGCTGGGCAGAGGGAGCAGTTGACATGGGGTTAGCAGGGCACAGAGGTAGGAAAGGGCAAGGCCGTGGAAGGCATTGAAGGCATTGGAGACAAGGATTTCGAAATCTATCCTTTGGGGGATGGGGACCCCAGAGTGTGCGTTGGGGTAACTGCTGGAGCCTAACCATCTAAAACCACATAACTTGTCATTGATATTACTGTCTGGCAAGTTTTCCTGCTGTTTGTCCAGCTAGGGCCATCCTATTTGTTAGTGCTTTGGGTTGCAGGGTTAACAGGAGTTGAGTGGGATGATTCCTTGGCACAAGGTGACGATTTGGAAGAGATGTTAACCTGCTCGGCTTTGCTAGGCAAACTGTCCACACAGCCAAATTGCCTTCAACAGCTCGACCAAGGTGGATGCATCATAGACTCACTCATTATAATATAATATATTATTATATGTTATTATATTATATATCATTAGCTGTGAGGAGTAATGTAATGAATGAGGTCCCTGGACTTCAATCCTATAATCTCTGGATCCAAAGTTCAGTGTTTCAACTATCCGAAAGATCTTATAATAATAATCCTTGCATTTGATATGGTACCTAATCATTAGCCAAAGCCCTAACGGGTCACGTGGGTCCCCAAGTCTTGCTACTGACAACCTGTATCTAATACTTTCTGGAATTAGGTGAGCAGGATGCGTCCCTCCAGGGTGAGAGAGCGCATTCCATTCCAACAACCTATCTCTGGGATTTCCATGTGTAGGGATGGATGGAATTCTCAGTTTGGTTTGGATACTCTTAAGCAACGGTGATGGGTTTCCGCATGCGTCAGACATCCGGCTGACCAAAAGAAAAAGACGCCACCTCTGAAAACGATGGCGTGGAGGATGAGTGAGGAAAGAGTGAAATAGTGCGTGGGTTTTGTCTGCGAGGCCGGGCTTTGCTTGTTGTCTCGGCCGTTGAAAGCTTGGCTCCTGTGCTGGCTCCTGTCAGCCATCTAGATTAGCACGAGGACATGTTCTCCGCTTGTGGAATCATTCATCAAACAGAACTTTGAACCCTGGTTAAGAGTTAAAGAGTAACAGAGGCAGGAGCCTGCCTAAGCGACCAGCCGCATAAAAGGATAACGTAACAAGTAAGACTTTGTTCAGAGTGAAGTGAAAATAGTCACACCAAGGCCATCCTCTCTCTGAAGAGAAATACATAGGGACTTGGTTGTCGATCAAAAGGCAGATCCCTTTTCAGGGGTAATAATCCCTTCAAAATAATTGAAGGGCTAAATAATTCATTTAGTTGCGCAATCCACCACTGTTTATGGGACACTGCCATGCGCAACTGGCTACCGCGTTTCGCCAGCGGAGTATACAGTATACTTTACAATATATTCTATGAAGCGCTTTGAGACGTCTCAACAAGGTGAAAAGGCCCTACACCAAATATAGCGCTTTTCACGTTGGGAGGACGTCCCAAAGTGCTTCACAGAACACACTGTAAAGTGAATTGACTGTATATTTGTGGGCGAACGCGGCAGCCAATTGCGCACAGCAATGTCCCACAAACAGTCGTAGATTGGAAATGACCAATTTATTATTGTTTTTGGTTTTGGAGGGACTATTATTAGGCTCTGTGTGGAGTAAGGAAACTTGCCCAAGGTTTCGCCCTCTGCCTGGAATTGAACTCAGGTCTCTCGCTTGCAAAGCGAGTGCTCTAACCACTGAGCTACAGGACTCCACTGTATAATAAAATAATTGGTCATTCACTTCATGGCTGTTTGTGGGACATTGCTGTGTGCAAATTGGCTGCCGTATTCACCTACACAAACACACAGTCACTACACTTTACAGTGCATTGTGTGAAGCACTTTGGGATATCCTCCTGACG